GGGTAAAATTTAGAGAAGGATGTTGCCATTTCAACTTGACTCACCCTTTGTGGGCAATGCAGGGGCAAAATTTAGAGAAGGAAGTGCTCATTCCAAGTTGACTCACCCCTTGGTGAGCCACTGGAGAGTAACAAAAATAGACAAGGAAGTGGCTATTCCAAGTTGACTACCCTTTTAAGTGAGCAACGCAGGGTGAAATTTGGAATACGCAGCAACATTCGGGAAAGGGCCTGTGTGCGCACTTGACTCCCCATGGTCGGGTGTGCGCACGCTGAGTTAACAAGTGTGTGCGCAGATGAGGCACAAGTGCCGATAAATGTGTGTGCGCAGTTGAGTTGAATCCGTGTGCGCGGCTGCGGCGCCGCCCTTCTGTAAGCCACCCGAATGTACAGTAGTAAAGGTTAGAGGGCAGAAAGCCATTCCATTCTAGCACGCCAGTAAAATTTTGGAAGAGCTGGATCTGAACCTCTGCAAGATTTTGTGGGTCTCTAGACTCTACACCTTTACACTAGATCTGTCTGGATGTCGAGGCCTTTGGATCTTTGTAGATGTAGGCGTCCTGTTCTCAACCGTGACCTCTTGAATCTCCAAAACCTGAAACACCTTATCTTTTGAATTCTTGGCAATTTCGAACCGAACACAGAGGGCAGAGGCCGACCGTTGTAGTGGATAGGTTGGTCTCGACCCAAGGGCCCTACAGGACAATCCAAGGTATCCGTGTAGGTTGATTTAGTTTTTGTTTTTTTTTGATGCGTTTTTGTTTTTCTTTTGATCACTGCTTCGAGTTGGACTATTGCGCTTCCCTCCACTCGTTTGGGTCCGTTTATTTTTTTATTGATTCATTTTTGTTTTTTTCTTGATACCCTGAATTATATTTGTTTTTTGATGCATTTTTTTTTTTTGATCCCTTGCCCGTTTGGGTATCAGGCTACAGCTGCTGATCGGCTCAGGTGCTATGCGCACTTGCGCGCTAGGACTTCCAAAAGATTAGCTCTAGTTTCTCGAGCGGCCCCCGCAGCGTGTGATCGAGTAGTGGGATGAGGGCACCCCTCCGCGCTGTGGCAACAATCACATTTTTCTGAAGCGATGATTCTTTGTGGCCCAAACCTCCAGGCTAAGGTTAATGAAGCGAATTTGTGCAATGTGAGGTATTGCGTGTGGACAGCTTGGATGAGGTGGGCGTGGATTGTTGGAAGGACATGTGCACTGGCGTCAGGCAAAAATATCCAGTAACTGCGCGCCCCTGCCCGCCGACCTGCGGAGCCATATCAGGCCACCAGCCCCACCGCCATCCACAAACGGCGCTCAACAGCGGGACAGCGCCGGGCCCACCAAGCCTCACAGCAGATACCCTCCGACTGACGAAGGGACCAGACAACGGCTCACCGCCGTGGCACGCCAACTTCCGCAAACCAGGGTGCCCGCAGCCATGGTTCCCTGCATCGGGTTGGGCGGATCGTGGCACTCCAAGAAGCTAACGGCCGTGCGCGGGGATCGTTATCGGGGATGTGCTTCGTCGCTGGTTTCCGGGAGCCTGGCACACACATTGTCTGGGCCCATCCGTCCATCCATCCCTCCATCCAGTGGCCAAAAGGGCGGGTACGGGCAGTCATCCACACCTTCACGGCCGCAACCGAGGCCAATCCCACCCACACGGTGCTTTCCGTCGATAGCATAGGTGCATACGACAAGCACCCCACAAGGTTCCATGTTACCTCGCCCCTTAACCGAAGTTTGTCCTTCGTTAGCCTTTTTTACGGCCAGCTTTCGCAACACGTGTGGCATGACAACCAAGGCCGTCCGCACCCAATCCGCCAAGCAGAAGGGGGCAAACAAGGGGATCCCTTAATGCCAGTTTTTCTTTGTGCGGGGACAAAGAGCAGCCCAAGCCACCCAACGACAATCACCCCACAGAGCTATTGCTTGCGTACCTGGACGGCATCTACGCTCGCGCCCTCCGGCCGTGAGCTTCCGATCCACACCCGCATACTCAACAGTGGGAAAACTCGTTTCTGGAAGGGGCTGCGCCCTTTAGAGCGGGACCAGCGTCCCACGACACCAGCAAGGCACCATCTGGGCTCACCAAGAGTTAATCAGTTCATAGCTCGCCAGCTGCAAACCAGCAACGCAGCCCAGCACACTCTGCTGACACGCCTCCCCGCCTTGGACGATTTGCAGGCGGCTTGGCTTTAGTGTCGCCCTTTTGACTCTATTGGCGAATGCTACATCAGGGCCCTGGGAAGCAAAGCCGGGGCCATTGGAAAGTGCCGCAGCCCGCATGTGAAGAGAAGCAGGGGCGAGTGTAGCAACGCACGTCATGGTTTCTGACTCGAACATTGCGACAAGCAGCCGCTAAGGGCAGTGCGACAGGCCAAAACTCGAATATATAGTTGTCTTGGCAACGGAAAGGGGGCAGCAGTGGAGTGCAGAGGCTGCTGAACTTTTACGTGTCCTGGGCAAAGCGCGTCGCCGAGCAATGGTGCCCGCTCCAGCCATCCATTGCACGCGGGTCAGCCACGCTCACATTCGCAGCGCGAGCACCATTCGCGATGAATTAGGCCTTGCTATGACAAAGCAAGGGTATGTCCCAGCTCTTTCTATCCGAACCGCCAAAGGGCACAATGTTTTGTGTTTGGTGTTTTTTGCTCCTGAAATTGGAGCTGTGATTGCGTGTGGCCCCATGGCATTATTCTGCAGTGGTGACTTAAATGCGTCACTGCGCCCTAACCCATTTTTTTTCGAACCGCAGGAGTTGGAATCTTGAGCCCGTGGAATTACTGCAATTTGGTTTGATCGTCCAAGCTCGTGTGTGTCCTCTGGTCCGCTGGTCCCCTGGTCCTCTGGTCCTCTGGTCCGCTGGTCCCCTGGTCCGCTGGTCCCCTGCAGTCCGCTGGTCCACTGGTCCGCTAGTCCCTTGGTCCTCTGGTCCTTCGTGGATTCGATATATGCTTTGCAAAGCAAACAAGGAAGCAAACCAACAAGCAAGGAAGCAAGCAAGCAAGCAAGCACGAGCTGCTCACCTTTGGATCTGGTGTGTTGCTGGGGGGGGGGGGGGGGGGCCCCCCCAACCCCCCCGCACCACGAAATCTGCACTTCATCCCCGGCATCCGCACCTGCCACGAAATCAATATTTTAAGCAAAAATGTCTAACCAACCAAATATGCCTCCTCTATCTCTCTATGTATCTATCGATCCATGTATCTTTCTATCGTTCCTACAGCTTTGGTGCGGAGACGGGGTTACAGGATTTTTTGTGTTCCAGTATGATCCAGGTCATGTGTTCGTTAATGAGCCGAAAACGTCAAAAAAACATCGTTTTTTGATTGAAAAACAGCGAACATTATTTTAAAGGCGTATTTGTAGTTGACTGGCTGGTCGACGTTCAGTGACTATTGGTAGTTGGCATGTGGAAGAGTTTTTTCTCAGCTGAAAACTTTGTGTGTTTCACCGCTGGCATTTCCAGAATCCTTAGGGAACCTTTGAGCTTTATTAAGTTTCAGCCAGTTGTTGTGCAGGCAGGCAGTCCGTAACAGGAATGAACAAGACTGCCATGCGGAGATCAGGCATTGAAAGTGGCCATCCACCAAAGCCCCAAAACCAAGTTGAAGGTGGACAGAGTCAAATTTTGGCTTGGCGCTGTTTCATTCCACATGCCGACGGCCTTTGAATTCTTGGGCGCTGTGTTGAAATCCACGTGGTGGCAGTTGTGCAGCCATGGATTCCGAAGTGTTGGCGGCGAAGGCGGGTGTGGTGATTAGGTCACAAAAAAGAATAAAACAACTGTTTACATACCTGTGCTGCCGTGCGCCTTCTGAGGCAGGACCTTCCATGGCATTTTTCTTGGTGCTGGCGGGGTTTGGAGGGTTTTTGTCCTCATCTGGCGCCAATGTGATGGCTTGGTCTGAGTTCAAGCGGCGGTCTGGCAAGGACAAGCGTCGCTCAGAGTGGTCATTCGGGCATGTGCCAGTGATGCTTTGTGTACAAATGACGTTTCCTTCTTCAACTTCACTTCCGCAACCGTTGAAATAGTTGCGCGCAACCTGGACCTGAAGTGTGTTTTTTCTTCAAATTTTGGATTGCAGGAGTGGACCAGGTGCCAAAGCATGGGCTTCGTGTTCGCGTGCTTCATCTTGAACATCACAGGAGGGTGGAATCGGGTTTTGGTGACACTGTTTGCGCCTTGCTTTGACAAACGGGAACATATAGGCCATCTCCGTGGCATTACCCTCATTACCCACTATAAATTTGGGGGGGTTTATATGTTCATAAAACGTTTTAGGCAATAGACCCCTCAAAGGGGTGGTATCAAAAACAAGATGCTCTCTTGACAGAGATCTTCTTGATCCAAAACCACATTCGCAGTTGCAAGAAAATAGGTATACAAAACTTGTATCGAAGTTCAAACCGTCAATCATAGAATGTCAGAGATCTTGCTCGCCTTTTTATATGCATATGTGTCAGCCCATACTACCAGGACCAGTACACACGTAATTGAACTATGAACAAGCAGGGGGTAGGTCTCCCAGTTTATAGAGCCAAAACGTTCCAAGCCAGAGCACCTAGAGTCATCAAAGGTGTTTTACTATGTTTTTATATTGCTTTATAGAAGGTTAAGAAAGTGTTTACTTTTGTGCTTCAAATCCTAGGAGGTTTGAGGCTGATGGCTTCAGAAACCCAGGGGAATCCACCCAAAGACAGGTTTATTAAGCGGAAAGGGGGTGGGACCCAAGCTGTAATCTTCCACGCTGATCCGTCCAAAGCATGTCCATACATGTCTCCAAGTAGGTTGGGGGGAGGCGATTTTGTATATTTGCATTTAGGGTTAAGTTTACATATAGTCCCACAGGGGGTAAAAGTCACAATGTTATATCTATAAAGTGGGTTAGACCCCCTAGCAGAATTGCCATAGGTATTATAGGCTGTTGCCGTTTATTTTCTACGCGCGTTGAGCCACCAAATGCTGCACGGAACCAGCCACCCAGCCGGCTGTGCTGCTGTTGGGCATGTTTGTGGCACATGAGCGCAGGCATTGGCATGTTCCTGGCATCAACGGCGCTTGGTGGGGCAGTTGCCACCGCACCTGGCTTGAGTGAAGTTATTAAATGTGAAGGCATCCAATTTTGACAACACCATCTAGTATTCATCATTCAACCGAGGGCGGGGGCATCGTAGATGGCACCCGACTCAAACATTGAAGTAGTTCCTGTGCCGTTGGACCAACCCGCACTGGGTTGTATGGCCACGCTGCAAAAACCAGTGTGACCTAGGTCATGCCGATCCAGACCGGAGCGAACTTGCTGGGGAATATGCTTTGGCAGACGCTCCTGGGGATGAAGTATTACACGAAGTGCCCTTGCTGAAGAAAACTGTGCGCAGAATGGCGTTCGGGCTGGTTGGCCAGTGGCATGGTGAGAGCTGGCGGGGGGAACCTTTGAACATGTGCAAGGATCCTGAACTGAAAGAGCCTGGTGCAGGTATTTCAATTCCTTCAAATTGTCGTTGCGAAAACGTAGAACATTCTGGCAGCATCCTTTTGAACATTGTTGGACCTGATTAGTGCTCAAAATGACCATCCGTCAATTGTAACATGATTTCCAAAAAGGCCTGAACACCCTGTGGCACAGAATCCCAACAACTGAGGGACATCCGGACCGGATGATGGACATCGACCATAGAAACCTGCAGCAGGTCTGTTTAGGGCGTTCCTGGGGTGGCCTTCTTGAAACAGACCTCCCCCCACCCAGGCCTCACCCCACCTGCCTCCTCGCCAAGGAGCATGCGTGTTGGCACGATCGTGCTGTCGCTTGGGCACGCAATAAACTCGCACCGGTCGGTGAGAAGGGCGGTTGATTTCGTGTCCCGCAGCGAATGGACCTCCATGGACGGCGTTTCAGCGAAGACGACCGATCCATCAGTCAAAAACCGGCTTTCGATCAGTGCATTGGACGTCGATGATGCACCCAGCAAAACGGGTCCAAGCCCCATTCTTTCTAGAAACCAAACCTCGTAGAAATGACAACACCTGCGGGGGTGCATGCTCTTGCCGTCTTGTAGCAACAATTGTTAGAGGATTTTTCTATCCTTTTTTTGGAGGAGATGATTACACAAATGAGAGGAACAGTGCCAAGAATGTTTTCCTATATATGCAGGTGTAATGCTGTATCAGCGTATCAGCGCACGTGCATTGCCCGAAGTGACCGTGCACATGCCTTGCCCAAGTCACCGTGTAGCCGCAATCTTCTGTTCGGGGCGAACCTTCCTGCCCAAAAAAGGAAACTGCTTTCACTGTCACCTTAGGTCAGCCATGCCCCCCCCGAAGTGACCCCATTCCCTATGCCATCACCGCTCCCCCACCCAGAAACACGCATCCCCATTCGGGCACCAAGGATTTGCGCGGTGATGGAGCTGTCGGAGATTGGCCCGCAGGAGCCCTCCGAATGGGCACCCGAGGAGGCACCAAGACTGGCTGTCGGAGAGTTTTGGTGTGAGGTGGGCTGGGATTTGGAGGGGTGGGTTGAATAGCTATCCCTGGCCTGGTGCCCAATCACGTGATCTTGGTATTTGAATAGCAGTGGGGTTCATTCTTTTTCCCCGCTTGTTGGGCCTCAAACTATGTGTCCATATGTCTTGATGCGTTTGAGTTCAGTAATCTGATGTTGGCAGAAGTGGATCTTTGTTGGGTTTTTCTTCTTCAGACCTTGCCCAATCAAGCGGATGGGGAGTTTGTCGTACGGGCTCAAGGAAGGCCGCCCGCCTCTCTTCGGCCAATGCATTTTCTGAAGAACATGGGCCGGAAAGGGAACAAGTTCCAGTACCCTGATTGTTTCTTGATGCCAGAGTGGCCGCTGGCAGTTCAAGGTAGTTGCACTCCATGTTTTGTTTGGCATTCAATTAAGTGCGTTGGTCACCACTTTGATCGCCATAGATTTGTGCACGGCAGTCATCACTCCTTCCGATGCGGCGCTGTGAATTTTTTTCAACCTTGGCGTTCACACACCCATCTCAATGAGCACATCCAAAACCGAGGCAAACTACAACCAACGCAGACACAAATATGTTCTGTTTTTTTCTTCTTCCCCGCTGTGCTCAGATACAAGAGCTCATGACGAAACCGGAGCCTGGGCTGAACACTGGGGGAGGGATGGACTGGGACGAGGAGGGCTGGCGGCACGCTAGCCGCTAGCGTTTGAACAGTCAGGCTGAGCACACCTGCGACACTCAGACCTGGGGCACCCACCCACCACCAATGTTTGCTTCTTCCACCGAGCTTTTGGGAAGGTTGACGTCCACAAATGGAGGTTAGGATCCAGCCACGTGCTGCAGTCTCCCATCACAAATAGCTTGCTCACCCAAGACCTGTCACCATCTTCGTGTCATACGACAGGCACGGCATTTCGGACGGGAAATGGGCCAAGGTGGGAACTCCTTCGTTGGCATTCGGTTCGGAAATGGGCCCGTCCGCCAGTTCCATGTCCGTTTCAGGTGTCAGGTGCACCCAAACTCCTTCCAGATGGGTGTGTATTTGAATGGGGAGATCCCCATATCGGTAGACGGGTTTCCTTCTTCCAGGGGTCGAGCTGCGAGGTCTCCCTGCACCAAACGCCACCACCCAAGAGCCGACCTCGTGTTAAAACAGATGGCTCGACCTCAGCTGTCACTGGATACGAGCCTTTCAGCCCTTATATGTTGGGCTGTGCGATGACCTGTAGCTTGGGAATCGGACCCAACATATATGGTCCATACTGCTCCTTAGTTTTGAGAAGCTTCAACGTGTCGGGAAGATTTGGACCAAGAATCACATGGCCAGTTTGGTTTGCGACAGTTCAGGTGGCCATTGCATGGAACTGCGTCATGGTGCTTTGTACCCTGATCTCACTCTATGGTGTCTACAGGACTGCAGGGAGTGCAGGGAGGGGGTTCCCACCGCGGGGGCCTGGAGGAATCATTTCTGGAACCCTTAGCTGCGATCATCTCTTGGCCTGGTTGGCTTCGGCCTAGCTTAAAGAACCCCAAACAACGTTTGCGTGGGGCTTCGGAAGCTTTTTTGGGTTTCAGCTTCTGCTGAGGCTCCCTTTGAGTGTCACCCACCAAGCCCAAAACATAGTAACAATGGCCTGCACCCAAGTAGCGATGGCCTTCACCCTCTTCAGAACAAGGACGCTGCATCTACCCATGGAGTCGTCTTTGAAGCTCTTCCTCTTCGTGTCCCTGGTGACTTTCTCCACCGTGCAGCTCGCTTGGACCGGGTGTTCGTTCGACCGTCCTCAAGCCGAGCGTGGTGATTTCGGATGGACGCTTGCCGTAGCACGGCTCTAGACCTTCCATCTCTAGACCTTCCATGGCTCTTCTTCGGACTGTTCCGATCCAGGACTCTGCTTGGAGGGGTCGTTGGAAGGGGCACAGTAAGAACATCTACACCCGGGTTCGTAGACCCGAACCTGACCATAGACCTCTGGAGACAGCTTAGAAACACATCGACCATGCCCTGGAATCCGTGTGGCCCCGGGATCTGCGATCGCGAGCGTGTGAAAACGCGACGCATCGCGAAGCTGCTGGACAGACCGTGAACGAAGTGGAAAGACCAACTGTTCGAAGTGGGTCAGTTGATCCAGACATTGATGGCTTTTCAATGAGCCGGACATCAAATCAGTTTTATCCATTGAGGATATTGTGCAGGGCTCCGAAGTGCAACTCATCAGCGGAGCCCTGAATAAATCCAGATGCTTTTTCAAACCTTTGCTGCGACCGTTATCTCCATGCTGCGGTGTATCATGGTGTATCTCCATTTCTTCCAGCGTTTTGTTGAGAGAAGGGCGCACGCCGCAACGTTGACATGCCCTGCAAATATGTTGAAGATCTGAAAAACCATCTCAAAACAGTCCAACTGTAGCGCCAAGCTCTGAACTCATTTGAACTCATCGCGGAGCAACGCACCCCCCGTTCGGTGTGCCGTTTCCGAATCGGGCGACTTGAGGATCGGGGCGTCTATCGGAAAGCTCCTGGGCTTAGTGAAGGGCACCGTCTTTGCTTTAGCCGCTAGGCTTCTTTAACGCACGGTTGTTCTGGGCGGGTGGTTCTGCACCTTAGAAGCCTTAGGGGTTGAGAAATAAGATCCCGGCACATGAGGTTTTTCAATCCCAATGGATGGGTTTTCTCAATAGTCTAGTCTACATCACTCGCGGACAGTGATTGGATCGAGAACTTGAAATCTTCATCCTAACTGTTCAACTGTTCTTTCCGCATCCCACGGGGTATTCGACGGATCTCCAGGTCGCCTTCCTGTACTTCTTGGATGGCGTGATTTGCCTGGGTGGCACGGTCTTGGCGAACGGCCACTGCCCGGAAGCACGGCCACAGCGAAACGAGAGGTGGATGATGAGTATACACTTGGGGGCTTGGTCATTGGATGGCTCCAAGCTGCATGGTGCATCTCAGGTGATGTGTCCTTGTTCATTCCGGCGCAGCTCTCCTCACAATTAGTGGTCAACATGATCACAGGTCCGAACGGGAGAGCTGCGATTGGGTGCTCTTTGGGATGTTTTTCCAAGGCCAAGTAGGGTGTCGGAGGCCGGCTAAGTGGCCATTGGTTCCAGAAGACCTTCTGGAGATCATGCAATGCCAGAAGGCAGTCAATTTCTGCTCATTGGATGTTTTTGGTAGAACATGTGGAACAAGGTTGTGTGGCACCACTTGAGAGATTTTTAAGAGCTGCCAGACAGGCTACTTGGTGTGGGGCGATGCCAAGTACGTCGCTTATCCCACCTCGTATTTGTTGGTCACCTGGCTGCATCGGGGGGATGGGATGTCTCGTGGCTTCTGTTGGTTCCTAAGCCCTGCCTTTCTGGGGGTGTTCTTCATGAGGCCTAGGGGGGTGAGACAACGGTCTTGGCGACTCCAAACCAGGGGTGGACATGCCTCCCGCATGGGCCATGGGGTTCCATCACTGAGGTCTACGCTCTTTGCATCATGGGGGTCTATTTGAACAGCCCCGATGCTTGGCGCACGGAATCGCCCCAAGCGCGCGGCCGAAACGCCAGCCGCCGGCTCGCTGGCCTGTCGCCGTGGGATGGTCGATGCATGCTTCGGTTTCTGCTTGGTGCTCGGTACCGGGCACACCAGCACACCGGTCATGTAGACTCTTGAGGACCATAAACCCTGTTCAATTTGAATTGAACCTCTTCAGGCCTGCGGGGGTTATTCATCAAGAGTCTACATTCGTTGGGTCAAGACCTCACCAGGTGAGACCGCGTGACCTAACGACGCGACCGTGGCACATTTGCGGGTCCAGGCCGGGCCCAGCACCTGGCAGTTGGGACTGAACAACGGATCTGGATGGTTTGCTTGAGCCTTTGCTTGGTTTCGGTCCGCCGTGCTCCAACGGGACCTGGTAGTTCTTCGGATCCTTTTTGAACCCACCGAAGCTCCAACGGTCGTGCCGTTGCGAAGCACCGAGGCGATGGACGTGCTGGGGGGCTTGACACGGTGGTACAGCATCAAGCACTCCCGGCTGCCAGAACCTCAGCACGGCGCGCGACGCGTCCATCATCGGCGCTTGGAGTTCTCCGGATTGATGGGTCTTGTTTTTTCTTTTGGGGGGGGATATGGGAATGCATTTCAAGAGGTGGCTAGTGGCTAGAGTTCATGAGAAACTGCACATGTCAGCTGTCAGCTGGGGTGGTGCAAAGAAGAGAGGTACATAATGCAGTGTGACGAAACTGGTCAGCTGATCTTGATTCAAGGCCTGATTCTCACTCCCTAGGAGTCCAAGTACCTCCTCAGAAGGTACTTGGACCCTCAAAACCCACATAAGAGTGTCTCCAATCACCTTCTGAGAAGGTACTTGGATCCCTAGGGACTGGAAACCCTTGCAACCCTCTTCACCACCCAGCGCTGATGCACGGCCATCTGACCATCTGACCGCACGACACCGGAGCAGGTCGAAGGGCGAGAGCTGCAGCAATTTCGGCGAGAACGTGCCTGGGATTTGTGGTGGCAGGTCCAGGGCCTATGGCCCTTGAAGTATGTGAAAGTCAAAGCTCCGAGCCGAAGCGGGTGTTGTTTTTGGCCATAGCACTGGTCCAGGTACGTGGCAATGAGTTGTTGTTTTGTTGGAGGTTTTGCTGCCTTCGGATGACACGGGATTTAGAACACATACATGGGCACTCACACATTCCCAAGTCATTTGCCTTACCCTCCTGCTGATAAATCCCATGTCATCAAGCAAAAGAACCAAAAACAAGATACAGTAATGGACTCCAGATTGCCGACGCAACCCAATACAAGGCTGCTTTGTAAACCAGTGACGTGGGATTGACATGTTGAAAGCAATCCTGTCGACTCAGACGCCTGGTTGGCACAGATTGCAGAGCTTAATCTTTTGTAGTTAGGACTCAGCTAAGCTGAGCAGATCGTCACCGGCACCAGATCAGAATTTTTTTGGGGGTGCTGTTGGGAGCACGCATGAGTGTCGCAACTCCTATCTCATCCTGTCAGCAGCGACTCCCAGTAGTATCAGAATCAGACGTTTTAGGCACTAGAGGGTCTATATCTAGGGCCATCCGAAGCGGACAGCAAGTTCGAAGAGCGATAGACATCCATAGACAAACTCTACATTTTCGGGGGAGTTTCTTTGATCTTGTATCTGAACTGATGCTTTTTGTGGGACTGGTCCCAATGGATGCCCATTTAAAAAGCCCCGGAGGGGCGAAGCCACAGGTCTTGCGGCTTCTGGAGCTGTGGCGCCGCGGGGGCGCTGCGCCGGAGGCCCGGTGGGGGGGGGCGGGGACGGGTCCGGGGGCCAGCAGCTCACCATGGTGGGATGCACCCCGTGCTTGTTCAGAGAGAGAGAGAGATACGGTAGGTAGGTAGGTAGGTAGGTAGATAGATAGATAGATACAGAGAGAAACAGAGAGGGAGAGAGTTTTCTATTTATATATTTGTTCCATCTTTGTTCGGGTAGGCTTTCAACAGCTCCAAGGGTGTCCAAGCAGCCTTCCAACTTGCGGTGCCCATGCTTTTCCTTTGCGTCTTCTTGATCACTTCCGCCGCCGCGGATCTGCAGCTGTTGCCCCTACGGGCATCTCCCAGTCTCGGTGGCCGCAACCACTGGACACAGGCTTAAGCAGTGGACGGAGAGGAGCGGCTCGTCCTTCCTGAAAAGCTTGTCATCGGGTATGAAACGGGTCATGTTGAGGGCAAAGCTGAAGTGTTCCCACACTTTTGTGTGGGCAGCACCTGCACCGAAAGTCAAGATGTGTTAGTGGCTGATGAGATGGCTAGAATGGAAGCTTTCGAAGGATTGCTGGGCCTGGAATTGCCGGCGGGCTCCGCAAACCCGTTCGGCAGCAAATTCGTGAGTCATTTGATGCAGCAGGGGATGGCATTCTCCGTGTCACTGGCTCCCTCGCCCTTCCTTGCCCTTGGCCATCGCCACGAGCTGCTGCAGGGCCTGGAGCAAGTGGAGCGCTTGCCAGTGCATCGTATCGGGAACCATCACGGACCGTGGGCCATCCAGGTGGGCCTGTCCGTCGGCGGTCAGGACTTGGCCGAGGGACTTGGCGTTTTGGACACTGGAGCCACAGGGGTGGTGGTGATGCCCGAGTGGTTGCTACTGAATTTTCTGACGCACTTGCTGAAGCCGCCATTTAGAGGATGCAACGTCGGGGAGCACACTGTCATTTGCAAGTGCAACCAAGAGCTACACGACTTAAGACTTAAGGTTCACCTTGGGCGAGAGGGATGTGATGTTTGACACGGAAGACCTGCTCTATCCGCTGGGTGAGGGCGGCGAGGGTTGGTGCCAGCTGCTGATTTTACAGACGCGCGACCTGCCGTACTTTGTCTTGGGCCAGTTCTTCCTCCAAAAGCTCTACACCATAATCGACCCCAGCGGCCCCGATGTGTACCTGGCACCTCCACGTGAGAGTGCCGACGTGGTGATGGGCTTCCAGCATGCTCCAGCTTCACCTACCCGGGCGGCCTTCGCGGCTGTTTGCGCTGCCGCCATGGGGGCTGCTGTGGCCTGCACGTGGCAATCATGGCGCAGATGCTCGGCGCGAGTAGAGATGACAGACAGCGGATACTCGGCGCTGTGAAGCTGCTTTGAAAGAGCGAGCGGTTAGTTAGTAATTAACCTGGGGCTTTTGTAGTGTAGGCGCAGACTGGGCTCCCCGGTTTGTGTTTCCTTTTCGTGGAGAGTTGTGTAAGATTTCATTGCTTTGGAGCGGTGCAGGATTGCCAAAAAGGCTCTTCCAGGATGCTTCTTGGGTTCACAGAAAGCCTGAGAACAAATTTCAGCATATTTCTGCCTATCAGGGGTGGTTGGTTTTCCGTTTTCCAAGGAGTGCCAACAGACTTGCCACCAGCTCATGAAGGATGATGCAGCCTTCATTAAAGAGCTTTCTTGATGTTCTTTTTGCGGTAACTGTGTTTGCCGCCAACATGTGCCAGGCGTACCGCGACCAGCTCGGAGCTGTGCTGAACCGCGGATTGGCCACTTACCGTTGATGATGGGAACTGGGTTGGGGCGCATAAGAAGAGCTAGACTTGCTAAGCCACTGCAGTAGAGTGTTGTCCTAAATCCAGCTGGTCACACTGGGAGCTGCACATGAAAGTTGCCATCCTGGACCTTCCGTTGATTTGGGCTCGAGGTGGCCCCCCTTTCACATTTTTCACCTCCACCCCACGCCATTTTAGGGCGTTTCTGTCGGAGCTTTTGGACTGGAGTGTGGCGATCATGGAAGTGAAGAAGCAGGCTGAAGTGCCATGGAGAGAGGCTAACGGCTAACGGTTCCAAGGTATCGAAGTATCCTGGTCAGTCCTGGATTGGAGAACCACTTTTGTATGGTGTTTTGGGATGGATCTCGTGGTCTCCCGCGGGAGGCCGTCCTGCACGGCCTCATGGCCTACGGCATCTTTGGCGTCCTCCAGGTCTTCCAACGCCTCTGGTGCGGCTGGCGGAAAGCCCGCCGCATGCAACGCATGCTCAAGGATGTGCCAGCGACCCAGGGCGTTGGGCATGACCAGCCGGTAGGACCCGGGGGAGGGCATGCAGGTAAGTCGTGTTTCTTTACAAGGCCACAGGGTTGATGGGGTAGTGAACATGGGTTTGTGGATGATGGAACCATTAGTCATGGTTCATGTATGTGGTTCATGTGGTTCATGTGACCGGGGTGGTCACCTCGAAGCAGTAGGGCGTGCCATGCGACAGGATGGCTCAATGACTTGATGGCAAACCTTCATCGCTTGCACGACTGGCGGCTGGACATTTGCAACTGGTCTGCACCTAGCAGCTTAGCAGTTTTGGGCGTCTGAGAGTTCATTGACATTTCCCATCTTTTCCGTGGTGGTTTGGCAAAGTGTTCCCATCGACTCCCAGTCACTCGATCGGTGAACATGTATCTGTATAAACAATGACGCCCTCTCCATTTTTACTATTGGTGGTTTGGTTTCTTGGCTAATGGATGGGATCTTCCCAGGTGTATGGTACCAAATCGGCCCCTCCATTTTGCCAAAACGACATCATTGGCACATGCAGGTGACTGGAGGAGTGATGGGGTTCACATCTGAGGCCCCAAACTAAACTTAGGCAAGGGCCTGCCGCTCGCGAAAAGCCTCGGCTTTTCATGGATGCCCGCGCCATATCTTGTGGTAGCCAACGATCCGCAGATCGTGAAGCACATTTTGAAGGATGAGTTCAACAAGTACAGCAAGGCCGACACCACTTTGGACCCCTTCTTCTACTACTTTGAGGATTTTCTGGGTGAGGGCATTTTTGTGGTGAAGCACGGTCTGGGCTCCAAGGATGGTGGCCAAGAGTGGAGCCGGATGCGCAAGGTCTCCGCGCAGATCTTTACACGAAAGAACTTCAACAGCATGATGCAGGAGGTCTTTATGTCCAAGGCAGAGTCGCTTCGACGCTCGGCGGCCCCAGGACCATGTTCTCGGTGCCCCCCCCAAACATGCGCTGCCCAAACTGGCAGGGATCTCGTGGGTGGACGGATCCGAATCCCGGCTGTTGTGGATGGTTCAAGAAGGCTGTCTGTTTTCCAAAACAACCAGCCCGGGCGGAACCTGTCGGATGACCGTTTCTTTGCTGCTCAGGGCGATTTCTGCAAAATGCGGGGCGTGGAACGCCGGTTGACATCCAAGGGTGTTTCTTCAACTTCACCTTTGACAGCATCATGAGCATTTTCTTCGGGGAGGAGTGCAACACCGCGGAAGGTGTGCCGAACGTGTATGGCAAGGCAGGGCCTGGAGGTCCTTTGCAATGCTGTATAGAAAACATACTGGTTTTTGAGAGGTCACCACTTTCAAGAGCCCTTTGTCCGAAATTCTCAACTGCTTTCCAAAAAAGAGAGGCCTTTGATATGGCCAGTGTGTGCCTTCGAGCCCATAGCGTGAAGTCCATGGCGCCCTTCCTCTTCTTCAGCACCTTTCTCCCTTGGCCCCTAGGGGGCCACCACGGCGGCTGGGCCCGCTGGTTCTGGGACTGGTCTTCTCCCACCTACCGCCGGCTCAAGCGTTGCATCCGAACCTTGGAATCGGAAGCGGATCGCTTGGTGCGAAAATGCCAGGAAGACCCCACGCTGGGCGAGAGGAGAGATTTGTTGGCGCTGTTCCTGCAGGGGAACTTCAGCCCGGAGTTTACCAAGAAGATGGTGCTTCATTTGATCATCGCGGGAAGAGATACCACAGCGTGTTTGTTGTCCTGGATGTTCTATGAGCTCACTCGGCATCCAGAGGTGCAAAGACAGCTTCATGAAGAGATTATGCTGAAGCAGCCGCCTGGAACCCCCTTGGACTGGAAAAGCCTCTCGGCCAGCGAAATGCCGTATTTGAATGGTGTAATCTATGAGTCTTTGAGGCGGGGGAGTGTTGATTGCCCCGACAGTTGTTGACTTTTTGCAATTCTGGGAGTCTAGAGGTGTTGGGCAAGGTACCTCTTATGTCTTAGTTTGCCTTGACCTACTCTGCCAAGTCAGTTTTCCAAAGAGGGGTTGCCAAATCTGGGCGGCCTATCCTGCGGCAGGCTTTGGCCACCAGTGCCCTTCGACCTGAAGATGGCTTTTGAGGATGACGTGCTGCCAGGTAGGGCCACCTCGCAACCTTATGGGATCAGACCCCCTTTCTTACGGCCCAAGGCGATGCGCTGGAATGTGGGCGTCCACGCGTCCACACGAGTAATTATAGACATTCCGAGTTCCTCCACCTTCCCCGCTGGTGGCCCCAGCTCGGCGCACTCCACGTGCCCGCCTGGCCAGGTGGCTGGCTGGTGCCCCAGTTCGCTAACGTCGCCTTCTGCCCCTTCAACATGGGCCGCGACGAGGAGCGCTACCCGGAGGCCTTGGCCTTCCGACCGGAGCGGTGGATTCCGTTTACGCCGCTTGGAGGATTTGGTTCCGCGGTTCGACCTTGGAAAGGAGAGGAAGAAGCCAAGAAGTGCTGCAAGGATTCCCAAGCATAAGTGCGTCCTTTTTACTGGTAGTATGGCCAGGAGCTACTATAGCTTCTTTCTACTAGTAGCAATGCCCTTTGTTCCTAGTAGCGTCCTTGTTACTGTTCCAAGGCCACCTCCGCAGCATGAGTTTCCAGTCTTCCAGGCAGGACCCAGAGTGTGCTTGGGCCTCCTGGATGCAAATGGGAGATGCTAAGCCTGCATCCCTCAACCGGTAGGCAAGAAGCCGCCTCCCTGCTCCTTCGCCCCATTGGCCTCGGAAGACGATTCACCTGATGCCCAAGAAAGGTTGGCCCCTGGTGCTCCAGCTTCCATCTACACAACAAAATGCCATTAACAACCAGATCTGTTTTGTGATGCAGTCCATAGTCTACATAGTTGCATATATATATATATATAACTGCACCACCTTTGGGGATTGTGACTGCGCCATCTACTCACAATCCACTACTGTATGTGTGGGGTCTTAATCTCCGGGTCTATCAACTCAACTTCGCAAGTGTTTTCGTGCGGAGCCGGGGCGGAGCCGGAGGCGGTCCGAGGTTTTCGCGGGGATCATATGGGGGTCCAGATCGGAGTCATACCCGACTGAAGTTTTGCAGGGACCCTTTACCTCCATCGTCATCCTACATCATGGTCATACGGCAAGCTTGAAGGTGGCAAAGTCGTTTGGAAAGACATGGGGAGACGAACTCTTCCACAGCGGTTTTGGGTTTTGTTCCCTTTTCATGCTTGGCTCAACGACCTGTCGACTTGAGGCCAAGATATGGCGCTCTTCGAGGCAAAGACTTGTGCAGTGGAGCTGCTGCGCTTTTGCTCCTTTGAGATGGTGCCCAACCAGGAGGTCACATATGGAGAGAAGATCACCATGGATATCAAAAGCAGCTGGGCGAAGGAGGAATGGCAAGTGAGCCAAAGCCAGCTTGGACACTTCTAGAGACCTTCTGGCATTCCGACCGGCACGCACAGTTGATCTTTCCGTGTGCTTGCCTTCCGCCAGTTGAAGGGCTGTTTCCCATAATTGTGGCAGGGCGTGTTCCTTTTTTTTGAGGGTTTTCAGATGTTTTCAGCATCGCTTTTGCAAGCGTCATGGGCATACTCTTCTTTGGCTCGGTGTGGTGGAAACAAAGCCAGCAAAGAAGTGGCGTTGGGTAAGTGTACAGTTTTGGGACTTTGGGTTGCCCACCCCTCCCGCAGCCCAATCAATCCTAGCTTTCGGCCGTTGTCGCCGTTCTCGTGGTCGCCTTCCGTTGGTCTTTCGCAGTACGACACGGCACCTTCTGTCCAACAAAGATGCCGCCTTTTGCTCCGAGCCGTCCTCGTCCCGAGCCCGGAGATCGCGCCGGTCCCAGGCAACGGCAAAGAGGAGTTCTGGGTCACTGTGGTGCCCTGGGCGGGAGGCGAACTAGCAGCCAGCAGTAGCTAGCTCGCCTCATCATCCATCCAGCCCAAGTTGCGAGCAGGTTAGTTCGAGCTTTGACAGGCCCGAACTTGCGGCTTTAGGCCGCTGGTCGTCCAACGCGCACATCAGGCAAGATCAATACTCTTATTACAGAAATCTCAAAACTTGAGGCACCAAAGCTTGGTCTTATCTAGCTTTGCTCACTTTCTTGAGCTCATTGAGTACCACTTGAAGGAACACAGTATTACTTGCTCTCGTATATTTCGGCAAGACCAAGATGCAGTAACGTTCTGACATCATCAAGCAGTTCAATACGGAACGAGAGCCTATCACTGCAAGTAGGCGGCGAGGGGTTGAACTTGCAGGGCTGCAGATCAAGTGTTCCTCATCAATCCCTGATAGAACCCCGCCTCAGAGCAGCAGGCCATGCAGCGGTGTCATCGTTTGCACGCACCTTCTCCCGGAGGTGGGAACACAGGAGGCCTTGTGGCTTCATGTGGATCTTCCTGCTGCGGACCTGGTCACGGACCTGGAAAAGAACCGCTTCCTCGCAACTTCTTGGAGGCTTCGGATGCACCAATGCAGCTGGATGCCCACAAAGCTCCAGGATCCTGGCATCCGGTCCGCCGCGTGACCCGCCGGTGACCCGCCTGGACGCGGCGTCTGAAACGAGGACGGCGGTGGGTTCCACCGGAGCGCCCGGGCCCGACCAGTCAGAGAGCGGTTGCGTGGTGAAGTCATCCGGGTGATCCCGGTGAGTTGTGCACCATTTGTGAGCGTCCTTATATAATAGTCACTAGTCTTGTAACTTGTATTGATTGGGACGCCAGAGATGTGACATGTTGTGTTTTTTTTGGGTAGATAAGTCCTGGAAGATGATCCCTAGTCACAACCTACCTCACAACCTTCTTCTAACATTATCTATCTATCTATCTATCTATCTTCCCGTTGGTTCGATTTTCTCTTTTCCGGGAGAAGCAGAAGGAGAAGCCAGCTGCTTGGCTGGTGATCTAAGGAGACTGGAGCAATCAAGCAGTTAGACTTGGTGAACTTAGTTCTCCTGCAGCTGCGTGATCGCCAGTGACTTGATCAAAGCCGCCACTCAGGGTGGAGGTGTGCACAGCTGGAATGCTCTTTGCGTTGCTTTTTGGGGGCCTCGGTGGGGTTTGGTTGTTGATGCCTCGTCCTTGTCATGCGGTTTTTGTTTGGGGTTCCTTCTGCATGATGCGATCGAAGGTGGGATGAAGGCATCGCCATTTTCAGGGAATGTGGGATCGTCTTCGGTTGACTGAAGAGTGTGTTTCCATGGGACTTGTGGAAAGAGGGAACTCGAGGTTCGCCCCTGCAGAGATCAGCAGATGATGGGATCCTGCCGCAAGCCTGAGGTATTCACCAGATCCAGTGCTGGTGCATTGGCTTGAGGACCGCTGTTTTCCGGGTGCATGTTGCGTGGGCCTTTGAGGAGCAGAGAGCTCTGTCATCGACGCGCGGGCGTGCGCGCTCGAACCCCCCAGTGACTCATGGGTGGGGTGCTCGCACCATGGCCCAGCACGGTCGCACCATGGCCCAGCACGGTCGCACCGTGCTGGCACGGTCGCACCTTGTGGCAGGACTTGAAGCTCTTTCAGCTCTACTGCCAACACGATCCTCACTTCAAGGCACGGTTTTTGTAGCCGACGTTTCAGGCTGCGGGCTTGGGAGAAGCCAGAGCTGTGTAGATAGGGCTCATCTTCAGGATGTTATTGATTGTTGTTCGCACCTCACCATGTAAGTCTTTATCCTTGTGGCTGCGGCCTAAGTACTTTCCAGGAGCCCACAAACACAAGAATGGAGCAGAGGGTTCTCCATGAGGATGGATACCATCTCCACTTTGACCGCTTCCATGGATGAACACCCTGCACATAGCCAAGCCAAAGGCAAATACCAGAGCAGATGGGAATTGGACGAAGTTGGTTCTTCATGGGGTGTAAGAACTTTTGAGGGGAATCCTTTTGGTTCTTCAGTTGGTTCTTCAGTTGGTTCTTCAACCTTCAGCTTGCATGTTGATCTCCTGACGGGAGTCCGGCCTCAGGACTCGTTCCGTCAGACCCTGACCTCTGAGGCAGTGGGCGGGGATGGGGAGAGACAGTTCTACCCGTTCCTCCCTCTCATCAGGTCCTTTGAATGCAGGCCGGCCCTCCAAACCTTGGCCGTTTTTCGTTTCTCTTGTCCGGGTGAAGTGTCCATGAATCGCAGAACTTGTTGTTTGGCCCGATGGGTTGGAGTTCTGGGGCTTCTGTGACCCAAGCTTTCCGAAGTTGTGATCGCCGGCTTGTTCTGCTGTAGGTCTCGCCCTTGAGTCCTTCTTAGCACTTTCCAACAGGTGGTTTTTGGACACCCCGAATCACCGCTAAGAGGCTATTTATGGACACCTCTTGTTGTATAGGTCCATTGTCGCCTCGCTCTCCCAGCCGGGACCTCTATGCGACCCTGATTCACCTTGATGCACTGGCACAGCTCTCGCGCAGAGGACTATCAGAAGTTGATCAACTTGAAAGAGGCCATTGCCGGCAAAGGGTGCCATGCAGGGGGCTCCGGGCAGGTGCAGGGCAGGAGGTGATTTCCTGTTCACTTGACAGGCCACTTGTGCCATTCATGACACTAGTCACTAGTGCATCTAAATCGCGCTGTAGCCCTCCCGCTTCTCGTCATGCACCGGCTCGTCCTTTTTCACCCCAACCACGGCCTGGTTTCCGGGTCCGGTAAAGAGGGGACGCAGGTCCTGCACCTTCACCAGACCCTGCCGGCCGCTGCTGGGGCCTTCTTTCCCCTGGGTGGCGGCACGGCGCCGTGCCGGGTGGCGGCGCACTGGCGCTGTCCAGGAGTACATCCGGGAAGTGTCGGCCTTCGACGCCTGTCTGCAGGACGACTTGGGGGAGGAACTCACCAACTCACCCCCACTCACTCTGGTGCTTAGATTCTCTAGTGCAGTCGGACCTTTGGACGTGCTTTTTGAATGAGTATGGTGATGTATGGTGGGTGTGGTGCGGAAGAAAGGTTTGCACCTTGCGAACCTGGGTGGCTCCATTTGAGAAGTGGTCTAGTTTCTTGAAATGACCGAGGGTTGCAACCTCAAATATTGATCGAGTTCACTTTTGTTGAGTGGTGCTCTAGGTGGTCAAGGTGGTGTGGCTCTAGCCTATCAAATCTTTGAACCTGAAGTTGACCTATCCTCCTATCCTATCCTATCCTATCCTATCAAAACAGAGGTAATGTTTTGGGTTCCAGGACCTTTCTCACAGGGCACTTCGACTTCCTCCATCTTCAATCAACCACATAATCTTCCACCAGGTAACAAATCCTTTTGATCGAGGTCTTGACAGAGGGGTGTTTGGCCATCGACCTGGTCTGGCTGCCGTCGACCTCCTCGCACCCGTCAGCCTCCCCAGACACCCGGCCTAGGCCTCCACCATCGACGTGGCGCCCGAACTGGCAGGCCCAAGAGGGTCGGACGTTGGGGTTGAAGCCGGTCACATATGGTCATGCTGGGTAGTAGTGGAGCGTTGACGCGTTGACCCGAGAATCAAGCTCACAAGTTCTCCTTGTTTATTGTTGTTTTTGCACATGCTGCAGAGGGATCCTTGCAGCCTGGGCGCCTGAAAATTCTCGCAGGCTCTGGGATTTCCCTAGGCGAGGGCCACATGGATGGCCGCACGACCAGGCGAGTGGGTCGACAGACAGTCAAATCCGTGCTTAATATTCTCAGAAACTCTCTAACTCACTCACTCTCTCTCTCTCTCTCTCTCTCGGGCTCGCTTTCTTCCTATTGAAAGATCGACCCAATCGATGGACCTTTCCGGTCCAGCTGGGAGGCTGCTGGCCTGAGGGAGCGGCAGGGGAGGCGCTTTGGGGAGCCGAGGCGGGCCAGCTGCGAAGGGGAAGTGCTCGTGACCTTCCCATGCTTCGGTATTCAACAGTTCCTATCCTTTCGCATCTGATCCTCTCTCCTGCCCCGTCTGTGCCACTTCGATCGATTCACTTCGACATCATCTCGAGCGGACCCGCCACCGCAATGCGGATGGGTCGCGCAGCGGCGGCCTTGATTGGCAGAAAAAGGGGCGCTGCTCGGCTGGGGAAGACAGCATTGGTTCTGTGATGTTCTCTTCCAGGGGGCTCTTGATTGCAACAGTTCTCTTTCCAGTCAATCATTCAACCACAATGATGTAGACTCTTGAGCCATTTCAACCCTCCAGCTGGATGAAAAAGCCTCTTCATGTGGGAGTATTATTCATCAAGAGTCTACGTTATACAACCCATTCACCTTGAATCCTGCTGGGGAGTTTCCCGCTTGGACCACCAACCACCAAAATACGGTCGTATCCTAGCTACTGTATATATATATATTTATTCCCCAGAAGTCCAAAGACTTTATTTTGACCGACTGAAGTAAAGGAAATCTTTTTTTTCTCCTCTCCGGTCACCTAAAGACCATTCTTTGCAATAGTCTTTGACTTCCAGGGTATTTATATAGAATTCCTCTTGTTCCATCTCAAAAACCATTGGGCACGGGACTTTGCTTCGAAGGGCACGCCAGGGACCACGCCGGAATTCCGGCGGCGCTGCGGGACCGGCCACCGGTGGATTCGGCTCGAGCGGTGAAGTGAACGCGATGTTGATGAGGCCGTTCGAGAGAAGAGTGGGGGGTGAGAGTGGGGGGTGAAACATGGATGAACCACATGAGCATATGTGAACATACATGAAGATGAACATACACTCACTGCATCACTGCATCACACACCTACTAAACGGAGCGCTTGAGTGGGACTGTGAGCCGCCCAATGTCCACCAGAGCCAGGCGTTCCTGGGCGGATGATGGTCGGGTCCTGCAGTGTGGCCCTACAGGTCGACCTTTTTGACCCTAGTAAAACCTGGTCCTGAGTGTTCTCCTTAGTGCAAGTGTTTTTCTGTCCATGATCTGCTCCAGTGGGATGATGTCTTTGACCTGTAGGGTTTTGATTTTTGCCTCAGTTTGGAAGTCACTCCCCCTTCGTCTCGTAGTTTACAGATGGCTCCCAAATCCTCGCCTTAACTCCTTCAGATGGGTGTGTATAAATGCGTGTAATTTTGGAGACCTCCCATAAATTGACCCCCCTGGACCCAGTAGTTATCAACGAAGCGCTGTCCTAGCTTGGCCGCCGTTCCTGGACCATCTCCACCAAGGCAATCGGCCGACAGCCCCATAGGCCTCCAGAATATATTTTGTGGGAGCAGTTTTGGGTCACAGCTTGTAATCCGGTCCCAGCTACCCGATCTCGTCGAGCCAAACCCGTCACCTCTGGTCATGCCCTTCGGCCCCTTGTGTGGTCGATCGATTCCTCCCCCGGTGGAGAAATCGGCTCACCCTGAACCGGGCGAAGCCTGGGCGAAGCCGAGAAGATGGGGCATCAAAAGCAAAAGGGTCATCTGAAACCGAGGCCATGCCATCCACTTCCATGACTTTCAGGGAGTTTAGCACTTATCAATTATAATATTGATATATACACTCCCGAAAACTAACATAGACCCTGACAATGGCCCCCTGGAAGAGTGTGTTCCTCTACCAACCAGTGGTTTTCAGGGTCCATGTTAGTTTTCCAGGGTGTATATATATATATATGATCATCATCAGACATCCGTGTGAACAGAGTGAATGGGTGTGCAGCAAGGGAACACCTCATGGGAAGAAAGGACAGATGGGTTTGGTTTCAGGGCAGGGTGGGCGGACCTTCTCTTCATCATTTGTGGTACTTGCGTTTGCCAAGTCCGTGTTTCACTGAAAAAAAGTGCACCCTAGAAGTGCAAAGACTATCTTTTACCCAACTGACGCAAGGAAGTTCCTCTTTGGGTTGCTCTTAAAAACTGTCTTGGACTCCGAGGGTGGGCTTGGGTGATGGTCTAAGCGTTTTTGCTTTCCGGAGCGGCCAGGCTCTCCGGGGTGTCTCCTTTGGCGCGTGCGAGTGCACGCTCCAAGATTGAGGCTCCCTGCGCGATGGGTAGCCGGGTGACCGGGTTGGCTTTTCTCCCCTTGGCCTCAGGCAAAGCCTGGGTCCGTTGGGCTTAATTGTTTTGTTTGAGGTCATTTTCTTGATTGAAAAGGTTTGGTTCAGTGTTAATCATTTGTGAATTGGCTATTGCTTGAGGGGACGGGTCTAGGGCAGTCTAGGGCGTGCAGAGCTCTTCCAGGGGAAGTTCCGGTTCGAAGTTGTTTGGTGTGCCACGGATGGGGAGCCACGGATGTGATCCGAATGGACACAGGATGTGGAGAAGATCTTCAAGGAGGCGGATGCCAATGGTGATGGCTTGTGGCTTGGAAAGTGAATTTGATCCAGCAAATTGGCTAGCTTGACCATGTTGGTGTGATGGGGGTAGGATCTGAAACAATCACCAAACAAAGAAAACACATCTTGGTTCAGGGTCCGTTGGATCTTCTGAAGGATGACTTCTACTTAAAGTCGTCCTGAAACAGGGAAAACTCACGGAACCAATGCTTTCACGGGACGTGTTTAGGTTTTGGTGACCATCCAACGGGCACGACGAGGGACCACACTGCTGATGGCCTCCGGCCTCCTGCTTCACGTCTTCCTCTTGCACAGCAGGATTTCTCCCAACAGTCGCAAGACTGTCGCTTCAGACAGCAGCCTACCAAGGCTCTCGTTGGAGGAGCTGCGCCGCCAATCTCGTGCGTGAGGTGGTGTGATACCCGCTTAGCGGGACAGGATTGCTGATCAGCAATCATCAACCAAGGTCTCTAACCAACCAAAAGGTCTGGCAGCATCAAGGTTGGTCATGATGACCAAGGTCAGCATCAAGGTCATCAAGGTTTCCTTTTGAGTAGAGCATGGCAGCATCCGTTGGAGGGTTCGCAGGGTGACACGCCTGACTGGGCTTTTGCAACTGCAGACGCTGGGCTCGAAGTGAAAGGGGTGATCATGTGAGGAATCAGCCTGCTTGCAACGCCTGTAGAACACCAACGTGAAGGTTGAAGACCCCGCTCTTCCAGGCGGAATGTTTGCAGGTGGGTCAGTCTTAAGAAAAGCCAGGGCTCATGGCTTTGAACCAACTGCACATATAAGCCAAGGAGGCACGCTTTTGGTTTACACCACATGTGCAGTAACAACATCCTCACAGACCTCAGAGAGGGTATGATTATCAGTTGAGATTCTCACAAACACAAGCCAAAGACTCTTAATGGACTTCACCAATTCTACCCAACAGAACTTATATAATGGAAACCACATAGCCTTAGTTTTCCCCCTCTGCCCACGATGGCCCTCCATAGCTCTAAGTGCCGATTCGCTGCCACGATCCGCAGCTTGGCGGGAATCATCGTTGGCTGCATTGCTGCAGGGGCTGAGACGACTAGGACGAAGACTCCTCATCGGCGTTTGGACTAGAAGCCAGCCTCTGCCAGAACCCCCTAGTATAAGGGGTTTCGATTGATAGCTCCCTTAGAGGTGATTCGGGGTGTCCTGTGGGTCCTGGTGGTGGCTCACAAAGACACCACCAGTTGTTTGCCACTCTTCCTTCAGTCACGGTCCTGGGAGGCAGCGTGGCGGACAGAGGAGGGAAGGAGAAGAAGGACTACGCTGTACAGTCCGTGAGAAGGACCAAAAACCACCAGCTCGTCTGACTTGATCGAGGGTGTTGGGTCATTTTCGTTCCTTCCCAAGTCTGAAGCGCCCATATATAAAGGGTCAGGGTCTGTCTTCATTCTTCGCCCCCTCACCAAGTCTGGCCGACTTCTCCGACTCTTGGGGTTGTTCGTCCCCAAGGCTTCGCCCTGCTGGACGTCGATGGCGTCTGCGTCCAGGGCACCACGGCCATTCAGGGCTCGGCTTGGGCGCTGGGAAGGCTGCGCGCCTTGGTCCCATGGCCCGGCGCGGAGGAGGGCGGGTGACTGCTCGGGGTGGGGTGGTGGATGGCAGGGTGGGGTAGTGGGTAGTGGGTGCTTTTAACTGTTTTGTGTTTTGAACGTTTGGTTGGTGTTTCGCAAAGAAGGTCCTTTTGACGCTTTGAATCGTCTTCTTGATGCCTTCAAATGATTTTGTTTTTATCCGGGCAGCTCGAGGGGGGGTTTGTGATCGGACTGGGGTCCGTTATGGACCTGGTGTGCTTGTATGCAAGGTGAGATCGGAGGGTTTACCAAATGGAAAGAATATGCCCGGCCGAAGCGCATGATTGGGGCAGATAGGCTGCGATCACATATTTTCCGAGGAATGTGGCATGATTGGGGAAGTTGCTTGGGTCTCTGTGTGGCTCCTTTTAAGAAGCGGCTGTTTGTCTTGCAATGAATTGGATTGTCGACTTTCCAATCCCGGAGCCTTTGCTTTCGGACACTGGAAAAGACGTGGCCCATGCCTTGATCACCCGCTGTCTCTTGTGGCTCAAACCGGGCTCAAACGGTAGAGGCTTCGCCGCTTTCCAGAGGCTTCGCTGCTTCGCGTTGGCGCCGAATCTGGTCCAAAAACCACCGGTTCTTCACGCCATGGCTCGTTCTCCGTTGGCTCCTCTGATGGTGCTGCTGGCCGCCTGTGTCCTGGTCGCCCAGCTCAGCAGCTCCTTCGTGCCAACACCCCAGGTGGCACAACGCCAAGAGATGCAGCAGGCATGTGGGGGTAGTGCGTATGCGGGGAATGGGTGGATCTCGATGTGTTGCGCAGATATATATATATATATGCATACATGATGTACAGTAACTAAGGTACATACACAGATTATTGCTGTATCTAAACAGTTGCTAAGGGTGACTCACGGACAAATACGAGTGAGCCAGGCAAATTATGTAGGCTCTTCATTTTGGGACGTTCCAACTGGGGGTTTGACGTGTTTTGATAGACACCCACATTGCAGCCATCTCTAGCTCCCAACTATTCACAACTGTCGGAACCAGGCCTCAGTCAGAAGATCCACTGGAGTATGCCACTGCACTCGTGGATATTCACAGGTTCTTTTTTCTTGCCTCGTGACGTGGATAGCGGCACAATCCATGAAAGCCGTCCACCCCACTGGGCTGAAACATGCACTGAACCACTGGGCTGGGCTCCGCCGTCCACCTGGCCGTTCCACGTCTCAGGCCCAAGCTGCGCTCGTGGCATCGGTGAGAGGCCTGGCCGCTGCTTCGGTGGCTGAGCCCGCGTGGGCCGCACGCGTGGAGGAGGATGACGAGGGATTCGATCTGCGTCACCCGGAGAAGGTCACTGACCGGGTGGAGATGCGGGAAGAAGGATGGCTTTCATGATAGAAGGAGTGACAGCATCGTCTCCGGAATTGGGGGCCAGAAGGAATTTCTGGAGAGGGCCGACCTCCACCGACCCCGTAGAGCGATGTTTTTCTCCTTTTTCCTGCGGAGGTGAGGTGAACAAGGCTCAACATGGTGAGGAAATTCGCGACGGTGCGAATCCGAACAGGAGAGATCCCAGCTGCGAAATGCATGCCGAAATGCATGCCTAGAGAGATTGAACAGACCAGCCTCTAGCCTACCCCATGTATGTACCCACTGTACCACATACTATATAATATATAGGTTCCCAATAATGTCTATCAACCCTAAAACTTGGTCACTGGTGAGGGATTTTCGCCTTACCAACTGCCGAGGTATCCTGGCAGTCCTGGCCCTGCCGTTGTTCGCCGTGTCCTGGGCCCTCTTCAACGTGTGGCGTGTGGCCTTCCGTCAGGCAGACCGCGTGGCCAGGGACGTTCTTGTTCTGTCGCTGGGAGCCACCCCCCCCTGGGGGGGTTTGGGTTTGTTGGCGGGGAAGACGGGAAGAACGCACAGGTCACCAGGTGAATCTGGTTCGGGTACAGCGGGTACAGGCTTCTTCGGTGTGAGACTCACCGAAATGAAGGTTGGAAAACAGCATGTGGAATTTGAACCACCTCTTCGTGTGGAATTGGAACAACATGTGACTCAAGAAGTCACAATTCGGATTGAACTAACCTCTTCATACGAGGTTTCATGCATGAATTAATCTTTACATCAATTATATATTGGTCATTCAATGGATTCCAGTCTCAGGATGAATTGGGAATTGGGAATCCTTTGGGCCTTTGGCATGGGTTTCGCTGTGGGTTCTGGCCCACAGCGTTCGAGAAAGCAAGACCGGTAGTAGTGGTTTTGAGGATTTGGGTCTTTTTCATGACCCTTTCGAGTGCCATGCATCGACCACACTCTGAGTGCCACAAGTTGTCCTACCAGGGCTTTCTATGCGACGTTCCCATCGACCACACTCTTAAGCCCCCCCCTGATCAGGTGCACCCAACCTGCACGGCCAACCGCATGTCGGCCGTGAGGTGGTGCGCATCGGCGAGAGTGAGAAGGGCAACCCTCTCTGAGCGCCTTCAGTCGCCACTGCGTGGCTGGAGTCGCCATGCAGCCGCGTGATCTCTACACGCCGAGATTTTTGTCGTTGGTCTCTCCTTGCTGAGGGGGCTCCTTTGCTCGCCCCCTCAGTGATGTCACGCGAGGTCTTAGCGCCTTTGGATCGAGTTTCGAAACATCCTCAGCGATTTCTACCGGAGCCATCGCTAAAAAAGAGGTGAGGGATGTGGCTGAGTGGGTCGGAACAGGGCAGGTATTTGGTGGCCAGACCACAGTGGTCAGAGCTGGGAGGAGGAAGGTAGTCTGGGGACAACAGCACCATCTTGTAGGTGTGGCCCTGGACTGCCCGAAACAACCTCAAAGTTTGGAGCTTTTCCATTGATGTATCAACTAAAACGAAATATATATATATATATATAAAATATTTAACCCTGCGGATTGTTCCGCCGGCCCAGTTTGGCTCTGAGCGGGGCCAGGGCCATGCCCACTCGCATAAAGAACCATATCCAACAAGTAGGCGCAAGGAGAGGGGAAGGACGGGGGAGGGGGGGGGAGGGCGGGAGAGGGAAGGGGGGGGGCGGAGGGGGGGAAGTTAGACTTGTCAAAAATCCGCGCCGGGGTACAATTAGACTAAAAACAAAACTACTACTAGGATAGCATACAAACCAATCACCTAAAACACGCCGCGCCCAAGGGCCGGCGGATTATGTATATCTAGGGTCATTTTCGGGGATAGTCCCAACCCTTTCAAGAAAGAACTTCAGATTCAGATCGACCACAAGTGTCCTGGATGCAAGAAGCCACCGATGCCCACTCGCTAAGGCCAACGGGTGAAGGCTTATCGCTTGATCACCAACCAGTCCCAGGATCGTGGTGCTGGATCTAATGCGCGAACGCGCGAACGCGTTCGCCGGATGCGCTCAGATCAAGGTAGGCTGTCTCATGGTGTTGGATTGCCAGGACCCACTGAGAGTCTAGTTTGTCAACCTAGCAGTTCAGCTGTCAATCAGTTTAGTGGACCAAAGGCCTGGAAACACCTGCACAGGAGGCTTGTTCCTCCGTCATGCGCAAGTTGCAAAGACTCAACTTCGACGTGCGCACCTCGCCCTCATTGGGCCCTGTTCGGCGGGTCGGAAGCTCCGCCATTTCGGGACCGGCTTGCTTTCGTGGCCTGGGGGAGAAGTGAGCTGCCCTTTCGTAAGACTCTTTTGGAAGCTCGGTCTTAAACCCTCGCGAGCTCTGTCCAAAGCGTGAGCTCGGGCTCGGTCGATGCCGCTGCAGTGCGCCTTTCCCGCACCGCGGCCGCGGCGCGGGTCCCTCAGGTCCAGGTGAAGTCTTCAGCGCGTTGAGCGCAGCCCGAGCGCTGGTGGAGCAGCAGCAGCTGAAGCCGCTGTGTCTTTTGGCACCCGAAGCCATGGAGGAGCTGGTCTGGGCGGAGCTGGAGGCTGTTTTGGGTGGAACGTTTCCTAGCAGGAAAAGGAGGTGCAGCGGTGACCATAAAGCTGGGGATGATAAGAATGCCGTTGAGCCTGAATTTGTAAGTTGAAGCGACTCCTGGAAACCCAAACAACCAGAAACAAATGGTTGTTCCAATATGGCAATTGAAATCCTTTACATAGGAAATGGCTGTTTGGGGAAACATCCATTTGTTTCTGGTTGTTTGGTTTGCCAGGCTTGCATGCTTGTCTCCGAGTGTCCCTCTTTTGAACCTGCCTTGTTCCTCCTCTCCGTGGTTGCCCCAGGAGTTCCAAGACTTCCCCGCGAGTGAAGCCACCGCGGTGGTCGTGGGCACGGCGCCTTTGGCCCAGAACGGCGCGCTTCCACACGGGGCCGGTGGCGGTGCTCGGGGTGAGCATTGGGTGAAGCCCCCGGGGGCCGCGACGAATGCCGCGTGAGCGCTGGAGGATTTTGGTTGGGGGTTCGGGTACGAAGGACTCACAGGCGACCGGATGTCATTTGGAGACCGTCCGACGTGCTTTTCCACGTGTCGCCCCGGACGTCGGGTCGTTCACCGCAACGGAGCCGCCCGCCCCGAGGCCCCGCAGCAGATGCACTACGCGCGGCTGACGGAGGCCATGCGGGTGCTGCTCGAGAAGGCCTGGCGATGTCGGCGGTTTGCGGTTGGGTGAGGGTGGCTGTTGGGCGGGAGGGGTGGGCGATGGTTCTGGAGGTATTTATCATCGAATCATGTAAGGTCTTTCCCAAGAAGTTGCCAAGTCTCTTGCGATTTTAAAACTGTTGCAGCGTGGCCACCTGTTTCAGGGTTGCGAGCCGTCGAAACCACCGAACGTGGCAGCGTGGCTGCGAATTGACGAGCATGAGATTCCGAACGAGAAGAAACGAACCCGGAGGATCCTCTCCAGGGTTACCAGAGCTTTCAAGCAGGGTTCCAACTTCCATGTGGTCGCTTTCTGGCCTTTTTTCTGAGCCCTTGAACGTGGCCTGACAATTGGATGGCCTGTCGAATAGCTCAGCGTTATCAGAAAGCACATGGCATCGGGCTTCACGGTTGAGGCCAAACACGCTCAAAATGGAACTTGCAGAGGTTTTGGGAATTGACTTGGCCACATAAAGTGATCGAACATGCCACAAAGACAGTTTGCCTGGCAGTCAACTACTCCCCTGACTCCCAACAGAGCACAGTGGAAAGGCAGCCTGTGGTAGAGGAATAGATCCTTTTGGAGGGATGATGGCATCCACTTCGAGATTGGTGAGTCAGAGTATGCTAATGTGCCAATGGGCCAACCCAACCACAATCAACAAGAACCACCTGTCAACGCCCAGGAGGGTGAGCTGATTGCTGCCCCTTGTCGTGGACAGCAGGGGGGATGCTTTTCCAGAAGCCCAGTTTCCAAGGATTTTGAAGAATATACTTAAGCTTGATGGCTGAATAAGTAATACACTGCAACTGTAGAAAGTAGTAATGTCAGTGGATGTCAAAGGTTCCTGAAACGAGTCAATCTCAGATGTTCTCGAGTGGTCCCTGTTGACACTCATCATCCACACAGGAGGGGGTGCTGCGGACTCAGCACCCGTGCCATGCGGGGAGGACGACCTCTACCGAGGTGAGTCCGCAGATTCTGCCGACCAGCCGAGGTGAACAAGGGCCGCTACTTCCGTGAGGCGGGGGAGTTTCAAATGATGGCCGGTCCCTTTGTGGCTGCGTTGGAGTATGCCACAGGCAGGGCCGGGACCACGTTGCTTGCGACAGGAGGCCAGACCACTTGGTTGGACTTGGACAGGTGCGACGACTGAAGAGCGAAAGGCGAATTCAATGGGGAGTTGCTGAATTCTCAGATGTGTGATGGCTCAGTCTCAACAAATGGTGCACCATGAATTTACCATATCCCAGATCCATCCGGACGTGTTGAAACCACCCTTCCCTCATGTTTTGGATTGTTTTGGAGGCAAATTAGCGAGGGTGGTGGGCAAGCCGTGCCTCGGCTTTGGATCGAGTGCTGGCCGAGTGCATTCGGTTGACGGGTCGGAATAATGAATAAAGCACTCACCAACAGGGCGTGATTGGTTGCAGGCAGGCAGGCAGGCAGGCAGAGAGCTAGCTAGGTAGGTAGGTAGGTAGGTTGGTTGGTTGGTTGGTGGAATAGGTGGCAGGTGCAGCATCCACAATTTATTGGATGCTTTTGTTACTCAACTTTGGGGTGCAGGTGCGCATGATGGTGTCCGCTCAGCGAAGTTCTTTGTCCTTGGCCGCCTTGGCCCCCTGAGTGTTCCATCCAAGTGAGCCGGGGGCTTTGTCCCACGCGCAGCAGTGCATGTTCCCAACGCGTGGCGTATGTGCGTGCGTTCCTGAATGACCATCTGGGATCATCATGAAGGTTCGTGATAGGGGGTATGCTTGACCTAGGGTAGGGCCCCCCCCCAGATCCACCGGCCCGGCCCCTAGGTCTCTCGATGCCATGGGTTCGGTATGCTTCACCGGCGCCCAGGAGCCCCGACTTCTTCCACTGCGTCGCCTCCGCCGCGCACGGGGACGCCCCCCTATCGCGCCGACGCGGTGGTCATGGTAGGCCGGACGGCCGGTGCGGCTCGGAGCCGATGGGTGTGATCTGAGGTGTCAGGACCTTGACTCCTTGACCTTTTTTTTGTTGCCCTTATATATATATACTAGAGTGAACCCGGCCAAGTCATGAGGTTTTGCCCTAGGGTCACGGAGTCCTATGTCATGAAGCTGAAGTTTGAAAAACCTCAAATTCAGAGACAATGATTTGTCAGAGGTTGTCGCCAAACTGGCCTATGTCATGAACGTTTGCCATTTGCCATTGAAATGGTGAATTTCACACCTCTACATGACTTAGGACTTTCCCTGGAAGAGTTGTATGTCATATCGGGCCACTTTGGCCTCAGTCATCTGACCCCGACCCCAGCATAAATAGCATTAAATTGCCCAATCGTGCCTTGGTTGCCCCATTTGGCCTTGGCGTCCCCATCTGCATGCAGGGGACGACGTGCGCGATGACATCCAGGGGGCGATGGATGTGGGAATGCAAGCCATCTTGGTGCGCACTGGTGCCTTGGCTTGCAGTGCTTCCCCAGTCAGTGGATGACCGTTTTGGGGATTGGTTTGCCCATTCGAATGGAACTGGCTTTTGGTGCCTTGCCTGTTGCAACCCGCCAGCACCGGTGAATTCCTCGGGGGAGTTTCGAACACTCCAAGGCCGCAAGCCACGACTTGGGGGGATCCTGTTTGGAAGAGAAAATGTATGAAACTCCTCACCCCTCTAATGCCCACAAACCATGCTCAGACCGATTTCATCTGATTTCCATCGTCGGCGTGAGGCAAATATCGTCCTGGAGATGAGAAGCTCTGCCGAACACCGCCGCTGGCAGTGGTGGATTGAACCTTGGACAGATGTTCCCGCCCGGTGACGAGCCATCCACAAGCCCCGAGCTGTCCACGGGAAGAAGCCCCAAAGAAGCGAGCCTTATAGAAAGAAATTGGACTGGTGGACGAGCACATTGCATCACTGTAGGTGTTCAGAAGGTTGGACATGAGACTTTTGTTTGAGGCAAGGCCTTTGGACCCCCAAATGCCACAAAGTCTCACGAATTGCGGGGGGGGGGAGAGAAAGATCAGCCACAGGCGTCGATCCGCCACGTCCATACGCGGCTCCCGCCCTGAGGCCTGGCAGATGCAGTGGCCTTTCTCGAAGAGAAGGGCTTGCTGGAGGAATAGCTTGACCTGACCCACTAGCACCACGCTTTGAAGCGTGGTTCATGGAGGTTCGCTGATGTGGGTCCTCCCAAGCCTCCCAACCCTTCCAAAAGCAAACACCCATCCTTTTGGCAGGTGCTTTGGCGATTTTCTCTTGTGTCGATCACTCCTCAGGTGAGCGAGGGGCCAGGAAGTTGGGTGGCAACAAGCCAGCGAAGAAGTGGTAAGGCTTGTAAGTGATGATGCCCTTGATGGCCCAAAACTGATCTTGATTGGCCAAGCCAATTTCTAGTCAGGATTTTTCCGATGGCCACGCGCAGACGCGAGGGCAGGGGCCGTGTGAAACAAGCCCTGCAGCTACAAAAGGTCGTGCCTCAACCAGGGTTGCGACATGTCTTTTGTTTGACTCGACTGTGGGTTTCTGTCATGGCTCACTGCGAGCATCATGATGTTGCCCATCAAGTTGCGCTTGGGGCCTGGATGTTCCCAATCGATCCACCGATCCACCTCTGGAGAGGGACTCCGAGCTTCGGGGGATGACCCTTGGTTCTCCACCCAAGCGATGGGCGAACCCAGAGAGGGATGCTTGTTGCCGGTTGATCGGCGAGGAGCTGAGGAGCTACTTGGGGGATTACCTGGGCTATGGCCAGGCGGAGATTAGGCCGAAAAGGGCCCGTGGTGGTGTCAAACGGCAGGGCGGAGGGCGGTTGCTGTTGGGGGAAGAGATCTGGATGGGTGAGCACATTGATGTAATTCCACTCAACAAGGTCTTTTTCAGGAACGGTGTCCCTCTTTCCTTTTGAGCTGGTGTGAGCTGGCAGGTCTATGTGTTAAATGCCATGGGATGGAAGCAGATTGAACGAGTCGCAAGAGGAGTGAAGACTTCCAGTTCTCCAAACTCCGCGCAGTGGAGGTTTGAGGAGTTCAATTGTTGTGCAGGTTTGCTTCTAGAACATCCTAGCATTGAGCCCCTTCTCGTTTAATTCAGTCATCCTTTGATAGTTTCATCTGGTTCACCACGCCACAGTGGTGATCTCATTCACCACCGGCCGCCCAGGAGGCCAAAGACTCCTCTCGGCGCCGCCCACACCGAAGGCGCCGAACCCCCCCGTTGGACTCCCCAGGGACTTCTTCGAGGAGTTCAAGGCAGAGGCGGCCACGCGCACAGCGGGGAGCGGACGTTGAGTGCGCCCAAGGTGCACCTGGCGGGGCGCACTGAGGGGAATGCCGATGAAGGTCGTGGCTGCCCCTTTCCCTCCCAAGGAAGCTTGGACATGGAATCCGTACTCAGGGTGCGGGTGTGAAGATGACATTTTTGTTCACTTTGGCCAGTTGTCGAAGCACCTTTGAACTGCCTGTTCAGTTGTGGCACAGTTGAAACGACCTTCTCAGGGAACAATTCTGAAAGAAAAGCCGGAGCTTCGCTGCGCTCTGTAGGAAGAGAATGAGGGAAGATTGTATTCCTCAACGGCATCCTTGCCTAAGTGGTGTCTATAAACCAGCCTGACGGTCCGGTCCTAGCATGGCCTAAAAGGGTATGGCCTTGCTACACCAGATGTTGCTTTAGTGCATGGGTCTTTGCCCAAGACCATGCATCCTATTACGTGAAGAGAAGAACCATGTACTTCAGATGATGATGATGAAGAAGAAGAAAGAAGAAGGAACAAGGAAGAAGGAAGAAGGAAGAAGGAAGAAGGAAGAAGGAAGAAGGAGGAGGAAGAAGAAGACGGGGTATGTGTATTATGTATATATAAATATATATATATATATATCTATATATATATATGATGTGTACCAATATATCTTACGTGCGTGTGTACATACCTGGACAGAGAAGAGCATGTACTGGTATGCGCTCCAGGCCGGACAGGTGGACCTGCCCGGGCTGCAGACGGGTGCGGGGCCTGGAGCTGGGGTTCGTCCGGATGACATGCCTGCTGTTGGGGTTTGGATGTTGGGACTCCTTGAATGGGAGCCTTACTTGGCGGCTCCGACACTGGACCCCACGACTCAGCACCGGATGACCACCTTTTCTTTGGTTTTTGAGCTGGTGTGGTTTTGCCCATGGGTGTGCCAACGTTTTGACTGCCGCTCAGCTCGAGCTAAGCAGCTATACGATAGCTAGTAGCTAAGTCGCTGTGTGGAGCGCATACCGCGGCCGAGATGCTGTCGCGACTGCTGAGGGGCAATGTCTTGAGCTCAACCCTTGAGCTCTGCAGCATGCCGGGTCCGCCCCTCCGTGGCTTCTCGTCCGCCCGGGTCCGCGCGGGGTTGGGAGTGAAGATGCAGAGGCAGGGTGCACAAACGAGCAAGGAGCACTCGCAGCTTGGTGCCAGCTTGGGCGTGCAGATCTCAAGGATGCCTCCACCACCTTTGCCACCCCCACCTGCTTCAGCTCCTCCACCAGAGTCGCTCCCGGAGCCTCAGAGCGATGAGAATGAAGTTGGTGGGGAGGAGGAAGGAGTGAACATCACCATCAACTGCGCTTTCATACAGATTTTCGGGACCGAATGAGGCTGCCGTTCTGTGGTCTTTGTGAGGCAGCCGTGGGTTTTGCTGCTCGGTGTCGTTGCGGGCTTCGGAGGCCGCACCCGGCCGCACCCGGCCGCACCCGAGCTCGTAGTTAGAAGGGGCTCGGTCCAGAGAGAGGGGGCTGAGGCGATTGACCTAGGTGCATGTTAGGCAGAAAAAAGCTGCTGAGGAAGCACACGGTTGGTTCGGAGTGTGGGTGGTTGCAGGCTGCACCAGGCTGTAGGGGGTCAACGTTGGAGTTGCGGGGGTCCATCTTCGTTGGTCACGGTTCATAGGACCCGTATCCATGAGGGACCCCTTGCGTGACGGTGCTTATTGGGGCAGGGAGGCTCCTTGTATGGCCCGTGGTTGGTGAGGGGTACCGGGGTACCTCGACGGAATTGGGTCGGACGTCCAGGATCTCTCCCAATTTGAGGAAGACGTCGATCAAGCAGATGCTTCGCTTCTGCTTCCCATGCCAGTCATTCACAGATGAGCTCCTGCACCTGTGAGCCAACTGATGGCCACTGCCTGTGTGCACAGTCATGGCACGGTCAGCCAGATCAGCCGTACTTTTACCGGCATGTTGGTGGGCGTATATACATTGGATCAGGAAAGCCTCTCTAACCACCGTGTTTCGATGCAGGGTGTTGATTCAGGGTCCCTATGACAATGCACACCCGGGTCAAACCACAGTTTAACCTACGAGGTGCTCATTTTGCGACCTTCGCGACTTGAAAGGCTTCCCAGCCTCACCCGCCGAGGCTTTCCGCGCCCGGTGCTCCCGGGTGAACACGCGGGACACCGCGCGATGGGGCTTGGTGGGAGAAAGGGCACCAGTTTTTCTAGGCAAGGGCCAGATGTCCATGATCCTTTGAGAATCTCAAGCCCAATCCAGGACCTTTCCAGTGATCTTTCGAGATCCCAGTGGTCACTTAGACTTGTAAAAGGTCCCTTGCCAATCCTGAAGTTCAACTTTAGAACAGGTTGCTCAAGCCCAACGCAGCTTTTCTACGACTGCAGCTGCAGCAACATATTAAATGCCTAGCTTTTCGTCCCCCTTGGGACTCTTCAGGGCTTTGCAGCCGCAAATGCGGTGTTCAATCACATGCCTAGGCATCGCGTGTTCAATAACCTAGGCAAGTGCAAACTGGACATGAACAATTCTTTTCACAGGGAAGGTCAACGATTCCACGAAGCCTCCGATGCGATGCTTCGTCCGAGGCTTGAACCCGTACCTCATCGGCAAGCGGAAGGGCTGCACCGTGTGGCGGCAGCCGGGCGCGGCACGGGGGTCCCAGGGCGCCCAGCGTTGAATGACCCGGCTCATTTGACCTCATCTGGAAGTGACCCTCCCTGGAACTATGTGGAAGTGAATGGCCGGGGCCTCCGGAAATACACGTTTCCTTTACAGACCAGGGGTGTTCCACTTCCATGTTATAGTTCCAGGATGGGAGGGGGAAGCTCTGACTGAAGAAATTGCAAAATCACAGAGCATAGAACCTGTTGAGAAGAGATTTCTTTCCTGTCGTTGCATGGGGCATGGCAACCCTAGGTATGAATGACAGTTGTAGATCCACAGAGACCTTCCAGATTTGTTTGATGTGATTGTGCGGTGACCGCCCATGAGTCGGGGGCTTGATATGTGTTACCAGGGCAGTTAGTCTGTCAACAGTTGGGGGCCTCAAGGCTTTTCGATGCCGTGCATTGCTGAGGTTTGCGCTCCCGGCGCGCAAATGAACATAGAGGATGCGGATGGGGCCGGGAGTGCTCCGAAATGGGCGGCTGAACGGGAGGTCGGAGAGGCTACCCGCAACAGAGCTTAAACCTCTTTTCTTTCTGTGTGACCAGGTGGTATCATTGACCACCGGTATGGTGGCAACTGCTATGAAGCTCGGATCGAGGTCCCTCCCCTGATTGAGGATCACTCTCTTTTCCCTGTTTCCAGACAAGAAGAGGTCCCTTCCCAGCTTGAACCAGAGTGGCGACTTGAGCCAAAAGGGGCTACAGAGATCATCCGTGCGCCAGGATTTGGTGGATTGCAAGGTCTACGTGTGCGATCGCACGGAGCAGACCTTCGTGGATGAGTGCGGGGGCCCGAGCAGGGAGCAAACGGGAGTGTAGTGAGGGAGAACCAACCCCTTCAGATTATGCTGATGTGTATTGCTGGTCAGGGGTCGACTCTACTCCGGAGGGTTCTGAACAGCAAGCACATGGTTCGTCTCCACGGACCGCCTTTCATTTTCAACAGCCATTTTTTCCACAGGGCGAGGCCCCGAAAATGGACAGGATTTTCCAGGAAGATCCCATGGGCCCTTCTCCATCGTTTTCCATCCATGCCATCCGCTAGAAATCGGCCGATTCCATGCCGCTTCCGTGCCTCGTATGGCCTCGTTTCGGGCGCTTCGACCGGCCGCGGGTGCAGGGACCGGCCGCTTCGGCTCAGGTTCGGGCTGCGAGGTGCTGATCGGCACCTGTGAAGGGGCGACCTTCGTGAGGGATTGCCGACAGTGCACCTTCTGGGTGGCCACAAGGCCGGAGGAAAACCAAACACGTAAAGGCTTTTTCCACCAGCTGTGGGGTGGATTGTGAGAGAGAGAGAGAGAGAGTAGAGAGAGGGCTTTTGATGGTTCTATTATGTTCTATTGGAAGTGGGTTGGGAGTGGGTGTTGCTGATTGTTGGGGCCCCGCCAGGCAACTCCGCACCCGGAACTGTGTGGCACGGGGCCCCATTCTTCGGGAGGCACGCGCGACGAAATGATGCGACCAGATGAGGAACACCCAGAGGGCTCCCGCCACCTCCACCGATGGCTCGTGCGAAGCGGACCTGGATCCCGGACGCAGACGTGGGGGCGTCCGCGGCCGAGGGATGCAACTTCTTCCTGCACAGCCACACGGAGCCCATCATCGAGAGTTCCAAGGACCGAGCGGTGGTGGCAGAGACGGGTGGTGGACCAAGACTGGTTTTCACGCGAGGTTCAAGCTGACCGCAAGAGGTTCGCAGGTTCAAACGCGTCACTGTCAGGCTGTCAGGTTTTACAAGAATATCCATCGGACTGCTTGAGCAGGCAGAAGGCAGACACCACCCACATTCTTTCATATTCCTTCCATTCACGAGGACGAATAGACTTCTTCCGTTCCTGTTGGGTCTTTGGCTTGTCCTCGTCCTCAGCTCCATCGTCCACGAGCGAAACGGTTGCGATGCCCTTCCCGACTCAACACCCTGATACTCCGTTCGTAGCTTTTCTACGCGCACAGATATATATATATATATATACCCTAGAAGTCGAACCACCATTGTTTTAATAGCCTATACGGAACAACCATTGTTTCACTAAGGGTTTTACACTACAAAGCCAGATCAACCATTTTTAGAATGGTCTTTGACTTCGAGGGTATACATCATGTATATACACCTACACCCCTACATTAGGGTGTTTTCGGAGGTCAACGTAAGCATAAATGCCACGCATGGAGTGTCTCCTTTCCCGCAGGACTTGGGCTTTGCACCTTTCGCGGCTGGGGGCCTCATATGCTCGCGAGATGTTCGGGAAAGGCAGGATCCGCGCAGATGTGGCGAATTGGGGTGGAGATTATGCGTGGAGAGTGGAGAGGATGCTCGAGTGCATGTTGTATGTGGAGATGTTTCTTCAAGTCTTCAGTGTGATTTGGGAGGGGTGTGGGCTGTGTTTTTCAGTTCCACCCGGTGAGCCAGTGGCTGTCAGTGGTTTCGGGACATTTGGCAAAGCGGCTCGGCTCACGGAGAGAATCAACTCTCAATGGTTCAAGGGAACATTTGCAGGAAACATAGTTTTTGGGGTGAACACCATGGGTTTCCTGTAGACTTTCTATTCAACCAATTCTTGGAAACTCTACAGGCTCGAGAAGACCGGTCCTTCTAAGGCTTTGACGCACTCATGGACCTAGCTCATCGCTTCCTGTTTTTTTTTTTGGGGGGGATTTCTGGGTTCTTCGTCACTGGCGCCAGGGGTTCCTGGCGCTTTGTGGCGTCCTTGGACGCCCAAGGTAGGCCCCAAGAAAGCTGCCCCCCCACGGCTGGGTGTGCTTCCGCCTGCTTCGTCAGCTCCTCCAAGGCCTCCTACCCCGGGCTGGCGCAGCATCTGAGCCAGGCCGCTATGGACCCAGGCACCCCCCGAAGTGAGGAGCTCTTGTGGAGTCGCTGAAGGGGTCTGGAGTGCTTTGGTGAGGTGTTTTCCTGTATGTTCCATGATGTTCCATGTGAATCCAGTGAATGCACCACATTCCTCCCTTCAATTTTCTTTATCCGTATCGTGTCGTATACGGCACCATCTCCCTTCAGCTCCTTGATCTCGGTCCGTCGGGAGGGCAGATGGGACCCAAACCACCAGCTGTTTGACACTAACGTCTCAAGACGGACGGTCCAACCCCTTTCGGACTCTGTTTTGGTCCCAAACGGGAAGGCTCCAAACGGAAGGCTCCGAGCTCCGACCGAGCTCCGAGCTCGAGACCGTCGAACCAACGAGACGTACCGAGACGGAGCGAGTGAAGGACCGAGTGAAGGACGCATCGATCGGATGCGAAGGAAGAAAGATGAAGGACGCCTTCCACTGTGGGAAGAGTACACTTTGGAGGTGCTCCCCCCATTGGTTGCCTTTCCCTTCTGGTCAGGGGATGGCCCAAAACCACTGGCCGCACCTTCCCCGACACCGCAGCTGAGCTCTTGATTGCTTTCGTAGCTTCTTCGTCGCCCGCTGTTCATTCTGAACCTGGATCGCCATGGCTCATCGTCTGGCAACCATTCAGCGACAGGCCGCCATCGGTCCGGGGAGATGGCAGCGAAGCCGCCCGTGAGGACCCAGATGACGAAGCTAGGGCCAACCCAACAGACCATAATATGATTATAAGTGGTATATATAATATATGTATATATGTATCTACTATATCCTTGGCTACTTCACTTCGTTCCTTGAGTTTCCAGGCTTGGTTTTGCTAGGAGTAACTGAGTTCCTTTTTTCCGGCGATGACCCCGAGGTTCAGGATGGTCACGCTCCGAAGGCAGAGAGACATGGATAGACCATGACCCAAACTGAGCAACATACCCTAGGGATCCAAGTACCTTCTCAGGTTCGGTTCGACTGGACCCTCCTGGCACCTGCAGAACAGTGTCTCCAATCACCTTTTGACAAGGTACTTGGATCCCATAGGAATACCAACATACATAACCAGCTGGTGCTCAGAAGTGACGGCTTGGATCACCGGGTGTTCATGTTTTTCCCCCACCTGTTTTGAGAGTTCCCTGGTTTGTCCCATCTCCACCTGGTAAGGACGTTGGACACAAGGAGAGCTCCAACCCCTCTCCACCGACCTTGTTCCGCCCAGATCCTGGCTGGCGACTGCGCCGTGAGTGGCGGTGTGGAGCCACAGGTGGTGGCGTCCAGCGAGGATGCCGACTTCGAGCGTCGCGTGCAGGAGATGAAGAGCTGGATGAGCCGCCTGGCTGGATGACGGGGCTCAAAGGCGGCTCAAAGGCGGCGGCTACTAGTCACGAGAAGCTACGCACGTAGCTAGCTACTAGGTGGAGGCCATGGGGTGGAGGCCGCGGAGGCCATCGCTATTAGGGTGGAGGTCATTACTACTAGGAGCAAGGACGCTACTAATAGCTCCCGGCCCTGCTACTAGTAACAAGAAGCTACTAGTGGCGAGGATTTGCTCAGAATTTCGGATGCTTTCGTAGGTCCAGCACCGGGCTTTCTGGCTTGCCTACTGTTTGAGCGTGATCATGCTATAGATGTTTCCAAATCCAACCGCCCCCCCAGTCTTTCTGTCAGGCCGGGCCTTCTCTTGGAACATGAGGAGGTTGCTCCAGTGTCCAGTGTCCTCTGCCCCCGCTCGCAGCCTCAGACTGGCCGAGGCTCTGAGCGTTTCAAGCACACCACCCGGCCTTACAAGGTGGAGGACGTGGTGAAACTGCAAGGTGCCACCAGGGCCGCGCGAGGGGCTGCAAAAAGCCTCCCCTTTGAGAAGGAAGGAGGAAGGGGATGGCTGCGGAACTGAACACTCACTGAATAAAATCAAGCTGTCCCATGTATTTTGTCATTTGTGTTTGCAAATCCAAGTCTGGGTGGTCTTGGTGGATGGAATCCACTCCTCTGTGGGTTCGGTCTCCCTCTGCCACTCGGCACGCCAGGCACCTTCCCCCTGCAATTCGCCGGCGCCAAGGTGTCCGTGCCTTGGCAGCTTGCGACATCACCGGGGCGAATCCGCGGCGGCTGGGCGGATGGGGCCCGGTCGGTGTTGCTAAGGAGAAGCTCTACAAGATGCTGAGGGAACACCAGGCCAAGGGCACCTGTTCTCACACCTTTGGCGCGTTGGACACGGTGCAAGTGCCCCGGCCAGGGATGGGGGGGGCTTGGTCTGGCAGAGGCAGCTGAGGCTCCAGGATTCGCCCCAAGGACTCTGTCGGGTCGCACTGTGTGTGGTATATTTGGTTTACATTGGGGTGGCTTCAGGGGTCAATGTAGGTAACTATTCCACATTATTCCATACATGGAGTGCCTGAGGGCCTGGGTGATGATCCATGGATCAGTCCTCTCAGGTCACTCAGATGGCCAAGTACTTGACCTCCGTGTACGTGAGCGGCTGGCAGTGCTCCTCCACCGCTTCCACCTCCAACGAGCCTGGCCCTGACGTGGCTGACTACCCCTATGACACCGTGCCCAACAAGGTGCGTTCCGTGTGTTCTGGGGGCCACGCAGCATGCTAGTTCTTTTTGTCCAGGGTGAAGGGCGGCATCGTAGAAGGTATATGCCAGAGCACCTTGTCCCCCCTTCCCTACTGGTAGATCATCAGAAGCAAGGAACCCCACGCATAGGACTTGCGGGGAGGCAGAGAAGGCCGAACTTGTAGTTTCTGAAAGGCTTAGTGTGTCGAAACAAGCTAAAAACATCTCTTCAACCCTCTGGCGCAACTCAACGGATTTCAGTTTCAAGAATTCCCAGCCAGATCTGCCTGGAACCCCGCGTCCTACGCCAGGTGGACCAGCTCTTCCGTGCTCAGCTCTTCCACGATCGCAAGCAGTACGAGGAGCGCCGCCGCATGAGCCCTGCCGACCGCGCGGCGGCGCCGGCGGTGGATTACTTGACCCTTGGCCGGAAGGAAGGGAAACACCGCGACGGGTCCGCCTTCATGAGGAGGTATAGGGTGCTTGAGTTGGGCTGCTGTTTGAGGGGGTTTTGGGTTTTGGTTTTGGGAAACTGGAGGGTTGAAGCTGGGCCTATATATTATATAGTAAGGATCACTCAGAGTCATGACCAAACTTCTAACTTCTAATATGGTCTTGCATCTCTTCCGATTTCTTCCACGAAAGTGCAGCCTCGTCACCTTGTTCCCAGGGTTTTCACACGCCATGCTTCTGAGGAACCCCATCATCGCCGATGCTGACACCGGCCATGGCGGCATCACTGCTACCATGAAGCCAGGATGACCCAGGGGCCGCGGTCGCAGCCGGCGGAAGGATTGAATTCGGGTTGAAGATTCTCGGATGTAAGCTAAGAAGCATCCCAGAGCCATGTCAAAAGCCGGATCAGAGCACTTTGCTGATTTCTGCTTCCGGGTTCAAGGTCTGGGCGCCCCCCCTCACAACTCATCTCTCCAGGCTGTTTTTGGGGCTTCGGACCGGCATTGCCAGGTTGGCCAAGATGTTCATCGAGAATGGTGCAGCAGGCATCCACATCGAGGACGGATGCGCGAAGAGCTCTGCGCCGTGGGGTTGAGTGAGACGACTCTGGCACCAGGATCTCACATTGGCAAGTTAGGTTGATTAGATGACCTGAGGGTGAACTCCTACCCTCGATGGATCAGATCCGATCGGAGGCATGGTGATCCTTGGGTGCTTTGGATTCCTGTGGCCGAAAGCAGGGCTACAGTGACAACGAAACGCATGCTCACTGGTCCCACCGGTCGGTGCAGGAGTTTCCCTGCAACGTTTTGGTTCAGCAGTTCCAGTAGGCCCAGTAGGCCTTCCATGTCACCTTTCCTCCTTTCCTTCCTCACGACAAATCTCGTGCCAGGACCAGAAGCCAGGCACCAAGAAGTGCGGGCACATGGGTGGCAAGGTCTTGGTCTCCACCCAGGAGCTGCGATGCCCGAGTTTTGGGGCGGCGGAATGTCTTTTTTGTTCCCTCTCCGGTGGGCGGACAGCTGGTGGGGGTTTGGGTGAGTGGCATTGGAAATGGTGGAATGTGCAGTGCAAGGTGATTCAGAAGGTACCATGATGCAGAGTTGGCCTTTTGGAGTGCAGTCTTGGAGTTCAACTTGTTGCTTTCACACCGCAGTTTCGAGGTATATATAAAAGAGCCGCATACAAATAAATAAACACACATATATGTATTGTCATATTGCTTTCATTGACCTTTTTGCTCTTGCAAGGTGTCCTTCGCGGCTGTTGTGAGCCTTTGAAGGTTTCTTGAAAGGTTGTATTCAGAGATTGGGGGCCGTTGGTTCACAGGAAGGTCTGCACATTGCTGTTCGTGGCCCTTTTTCTTGCTGTGGCCCACACAGGCAAGAGAATACGAAACAAGTACACCAACAAACAGTAACATAGACCTGGAAGATTGAAGCTTAGAGGTTTCTCTGATACAGGAATCATTCAATCATAAGGCGGCTTTTCGAGCAACTGGTGAACCCTCCCTGGCAGAGAGAACGCGTGACCGCGACTTGGTTTCAGGAGCACATCCAGCGACTGATCGCAATCCGCCTGCAGGCGCGGTTTTCCGGAGACTGGTCTGTCTCGTAGAGGGTCCTTGCTTGATTCTTTTGGTTTGGGTGTGGCGCATTGTGCATATTTGCAGAACGGTCTTCCAAGCAGTGATCAATTTCGGGAATGTGGGGTTGAATGGTTCTTTTGGTTTCTCCCGCCCTGAGGTTGGCCTGTTTTGAAGCTTCCTAGTTTTCCCAGTATTTCTTGGGTGCCAGCAGCCGCGCTCATATGCCAGACCCTAGAAACCATCCCCCAGGCAGACGTGCTGAACAGCCCGCTGGTGCTGGTGGCGCGCACAGACGGGGAGGCTGCCACGATGATCGACTCCAACATCGACCCCATTGACCATCCTCACATCAAGGGTGTCACTGTCACTGGGCGAAAGGAGGCTTGTTTTTTTTTTCGGGTGCTCAAGGGTGCTCAAGGGCCCAAGGGTGTGGGTTGGAGATCGATGGGGCTGTTGTGTGTGGCCGTTTCTTGCAAGTCTTCCCTTTTTTTCATCACTAGATTCAAGATTCCATGAAGCAGGGGGCGTCTTGTGCCTATCCCAATGAACTAGTGGCAGCAGTCGCTTTACAGCTTGGGCCCCCGTTTTGGCCCAACTCTTCACCACTTTGCTCCGAAAGAAAGTAATCCACGGACGCATCCCCTACTGTATATCAACTTGGATCCCTGACCCTTGTCACTGATACGGCATCCCTGACCCGGCTATGGGTCAAAACCGGGAGACCGACCGGTTGACCACCGAGAGGAAGAACAGAATAGAAGGGACAACCCACCAGGGTTTGGAGCTCCAGGTCTTGACCCAAGGCCGCCATGTAGCGAAGGATTTGGGAAAGCAATGTCTTCAAAAAGGCGACGTTTGTCGCAGACCCGTTGCTGAAATACTGGTGAGATCTGGCGAGTGCAGCAAGTATAATTCTGTTGCAGGATGGAGTTGCATTGGCTATGGGTGAGGGTTTCCATGTATAGTTTTTTGCGGTTTTATGGTGTTTTATGAGCTGGTTGACGGTTGATTTGAGAACTCTTTCTTGTTCAATCTCATGAATCTATCGTCAGCAGGATCGTGGAAAAAACGGGAGGCCGAGGAGACATCCACCCAGATGAGTTCCGAATAGATTTTCACCACGCTGTTGAGTTGGATGGCTTTTGGCACCCAAAGCCGCCATCCAGAGGCAGCCCGGCTTAAAAACTGCATCCACTTCTTTTTTTGTGGGAGCAGGATTTGTGCACGAGTGTAGGGTCCTCTTCTTAGTTTCTACCACTTCTTGAGGGCTCTGCGTGAAAACGGTGAAGAGGAACCCACCCCAAAACCTCCCGATTTCCACCCAGGTGAAGGGAGTGGAGCCTCTCTTTGAGGCCTGGAACAAGCGGCATATGGGGCCGCGTGACGTGTCGTTGTGATGAAGAATTTATTTTGCGGATCGAGAGATTTCTATACTAATTACATGTATATTTTATCGGGCTCTCGAAGCCCCTGTCCCGCCGTGTGGGGAGGCCATGCGCAAGGGCACCGACAAGGATTGGGAGCAACGGGCTGGATGCATGACCTTCCCTGAGGCCGTCTCCAAGGCAGGTACGGGCATTTTTGTGGGTTGGGCTGGAGGCCTTCAATGAAGGCACCAACCTGTCAGCATCGTTTCTTTCAAAGTTTCTTTCGTTTCTCTTTCGGAGCTTCGTGCGCAAGATTCGGCCGAGCGGATGGTGCCAGGCACTCAAGGCGAAAGGAAAGGACAGCAAGCAGTGGGAGAAGGCCGGGTGGTCTCTCTGGTACCCACATGGTGTGAGCCTTGAGCCACCTTCTTCCTTCAAAAGCACCTCCTCTGGGGTCTACACTTCCTCGTTCATGGATCCGCCTAGCTGCTAGGATGCCAGGAAGATGTCCATCGACCAGATGAGGTCCCTTGCACCGCAGCGGGTTGGGGGGGCGGACGGTGCACGGCCACAGGCCGTTGGGAGCCGTGTTTGTTGCTTTTTGGCCTTTTTTGATTGGAGGAACTGTTCATCGGTGGGTCATGGAAGTTGCGGAGCTTGCTTTCTGCCCCTGAGACTTACAGCCCACAGGGTCCCTGAAGCTTGGTATGAGTTTTGTGCGAACGTATGTCAGGAGGCGGACGTATTAGTTTTCAGATATTAGCAGTGGCAGGCCGCGATTTGATACAACTTTTGGCTCTCTCCTTGTTTTGGTGTGGGCAGCCTGCCACTGAACTTCTGCGGTTACTGTACAGGACTCGCCCTGCTCCCATTTTCTTCATTCTACATTCGTGCCCGGGAAGGAATCTGCTACCGACAGTGCTGTGGACTGAGACAGGTGCAGTTGGTCAGGATGCACCGCGAGTTCTTTCCTTGCAGGTCATCCACAGAAAGCCGCCGAAAGCGCGGATCGCGTCGGACGCGAGCGAGGAAAGCGGCAGCCGACATGGGTTGCGAGGTCTTCTTCGACTGGGACTCTGCCCGTTCGGCTGCTGGGGCCGAGAAAGGGCACCGGGGAAGGGTACCATCCAAGGGGTGTTGGTCGTTTGGTTTTACTGCAGAAATGGGGGACTTGTCGGGTTCGGTGTTCTATCACAAGTGGTTGCTTGCAGACACGATGACGATGCGTCTTAAAAAGCATGGTTGTTGAGGTTTTGAGGAAGCAGGGTTCGTTACTTTGGTCTGTTTGAAGGAGGGATGACTGATGTCCATGAACACTTCCTTGTGACTGCATGCATGCACACCCTCGTGGGGGTATATAAACGGGTAATTAAGCTGCTTTAGCTGCTAGATTTCTTCACCCGCATGAAGCCCGAATGTTTCAGCTCCAGCAGTTCTGAAGCGGTGCCTGTTCGAGGATATGGCTGCCCCTGTCACATCCACTCACTGGATGGGGAAAAAACATCTAAAAGCCACCCAACTCCATGTGACTCCTGGTATATATAGTAGAGTTGGGCCTGTCCTATTACCTGTAACAATCAGCAAACAATTATCACTATTTTTTTAGGCCTACAACCTAACCATCATCATCATCATCATCATCATCATCATCATCATCATCATCCACTGTTACAGGATAGATAGATCGGATAGACCCAATATATAGTAGAGTAGAGTGATCCTCCCATACTAGGACCCACAAGGGGTGGTTGATGGACACCCCAAATCACCTCTTTTCAGGGGCTATCAAGTTCGACACCCCTGGCCCGGGTGTCCTGGTAGATGGTATATCACGGGTGTGTTTTGGCAGCTTCCCTTGGCTCTTGGGAGTCGTTACGCACGTGGAGTGGACCGCCCCCCCACTCGACGGGCGGGAAACGTGGTGCTTGGGTTTGGGGTGCCTCGGGGTACGGCTCCTCTGAGGTGGTAAAACCCGTGTGCCCCAATCAGACCCCAAAGAACTGGGGTCAAACTCGAAGGGCTGGAAGTTGTGAGGGCACATGTTCTTCATCAGGGCCTAGTGACCGGATGATGTTCTTTCAGCTGGTTACCCTCGAACGCTGTCTGACAGAGGTCGAGGGCTACTACCGCATCAAGGGCTCCACCGAGTTCTGCATCGAGCGAGCGATCGCTTTTGCACCCTATGCGGATGCTGGTCGAAAGCCGTTGGTTTTCACGCCCAACCTGGGGCGGTTGGTGGGGGGGTTGGAGGATGGGACGGTTTCATTATAGAGGTATATAAATATGAAATACATATAGAACATGTCAACGTTTTGTTTGGGCCTGCCTGTTAACTGTTATTCTCCTTCGGCATGCTCCAGCATCTTCTATCTACTTGATGATGACTTATCGGTTTGAAGCAGGGAACTCGAAGAAATCAGCAGCCCTCCACGCAGACGGCACGTTTTGGGTGGTCTCACCATGTCTCACATGCCTCGCTTCGCTTTCAAAGGGGTCAATGGAGTATATAGGTTTTTCAAAGGCCATCGTCCCACCACCAGATGTCAAGAGGGGTCACCGTGGGGTTCCGTGGCCCGAGACTGAGGATTGCATCTGGATGGAGACCGGGAAGCCCATTCTGGTGCAAGCCATGCAGTTCGCCCAGGAGACGGCCGACCGGACTCGAGCCGACAGACTCGCCCGAGCGAGTCGCGCGGGGCGAGTCCAAGAGGAACGCGTTCCTCGCCCTCGGCCCGTGCCGGCCGTCGTTTCGAAAGGTGCGGCGAGCGCGCGAACGCGGTGGGCAGGAAGTGCGCGCGGCGGTGCCTCATCAGATGCTGGCCTACAACCTGAGCCCGTCCTTCAACTGGGACAGCTGGGGGCTCCCAGCAATCCCGTCGATGGAGACCGGGTGAGAGGGTGCTGGAGACCGATGACACAAGTCAAGACAAAGCTGTTGACTAGCCAGGTGACTAGCTAGCTATTCTAGATTAGTGAATAGCTAATAGCTAGGTGAATTGTGGCCGTAACTTTTTTTTTCCCTTTGTCTCTGTGGATGCCACGATCCGCCCTAGCGGCATGTGCTTGGATCAGCTTGGAGTGAGATCGGCCGGGTGTCGAGCTACTATGCCCTCGGTGTATAGCGACAAATCATTGTGAACACATGGTGCGAAGGGAGGTCCCTGGACAGAACATGATAGAACCGACTCTCAAGACGAAGGGATTTGCAGCACACCCAGGACCCACAACGGGGGGGGGGGATGGAGCCTTAACCTCTAATCGAAGGAGCTCTCAATAGAGACCCCTTGGTGGGTCCTGGTATGGCTTTCTAGTGCTGGTGTGGCCATTGATACATTCAATGTACACGCTACCCATTTGGATCCACCACCATCCTGAGGTGCTGGCATGACCGACGCCCAGATGGAATCCTTCATTTGGGACTTGGCGAAGCTGGGCTTCTGCTGGCAGTTCATCACCTTGGCAGGTTTCCACTGTGATGCCCTCAGCATCGACCTCTTCGCCAAGGACACGGCAAAACGTGACGTTATAGTGGGCTTGTAGGGGGGTCAGGCATCCAAAGTCATATGGCATCCAACGTGGATGGGTCCAAAACCTGGAGGTTTGGTCCGCCATATGACCTCCAGTCGATGGCCGGAGTCTACTCCTCGACGCGCGAGGAGTATGCCACACGCGGCGCCTACGCCTATGTGTCGATGATTCAGCGGGAGGAGCGCAAGAACAAGGCGGACGCGACACCCGCCGGTGTGGAAGAGAAAGAGAGGCTTCTAAAGGGTCCCCCCCCGCAAGGCTTCCAGCAGTGAACGGTCAGTTTGCGGTGGGTCGCAGTTCGTCAGAAACCTTCTTCAACCCCTAGCAGAAGTGGTCATCTTCCCGAGCTTGGGAAGAGCCTGGGCTTTTTCTCCCACTTTCTTCCCCTCCATCATGGCGCACGAAATCGCCCAAACCCACCGGGTTCAGCCTCAGACGGTCTCAGGTGGAGACCTTGACCCATCAGAAGTGGAACCTTCGCTGCATGAACGGGCGGGTGGAGTGGTATTGGAGGGGGCAAAGGCGATGGGCTTTGGGGGATGGGCACAGGGGGCATGGGGCGGTGGGTCCAAAAATGTATCAGGTGGGCCAAGTGAGAAGAAACGAGAAGCTTTCGTTGGCGTTGAGACTTGCATTGGGACTGGCTTCTTGGGTGGGTGAGTCGTGTTCATTCAAAGACACAAGCTGGGGGTGTTGATTCGATCTTATGGATGCCCTCACAGCAGGTCTGGATGATGAGGGGGTGAACTGGATCTCCTGAATCATCCTCAATTTGGAACATGAGCAGCGGGGCATTTTTGTAGGATCCTTTTTGATGCTTTGGGCTTCCCAAACCCCCAAACCCCCAAACCATGGCCGAGAATGGCTTGTGGAACTGCAATATGGTCCCCGAAACAGTGAGTGTGGTTGCTGGGAGGCTCAAAGGGGTGCTCATGATTGAAGAACTACTATTGGGCCCAGCACGCCATTCGAGAAGCATTACCAACATTTTTTTTCAATCTGGGTAAATATGACTTACATGACTATCGATTCACCAACACCACCTAAGTGTAGAGCCAGCATGGAGCTTTGACATTGATGCCTGTTTCAGGCAGCTGACTATCTTCGCTGTGTTCGGCAGGGCTCCAGTTTGCTTAGACATGCGGGCAGACAATCGCTTCAGACATGAGCTGGAAGCCCCCAGTCCCTTCAAAGCCTCGGCCATCTCAGCACACAGTCCCCGCATGCTTGGCCCCACTATTTGTTTTGCCTAATTTTTAGGTTTTGTTTCTTTTCTTTTCACGGCACCCCTTCATGAAGGGTTTAGCTCGGCCTATGAGCTCTCCCCGTCTCAGACGCACGCATCAAGAACACGCCCGTCACGCCCGTCCCCTCGCACCGGTCCCACCATCCATTTGTGTGCTCGGTGTGGGACCACTTCAATGGGCGACTCCGTCATCGACATCGACTCGGAGGAGGAGGATGGCCTGTCGCATGCAGCGCATGAGGCAGCACACCAGGCGGCTCAGAGTGCTTTGGCCCATGCACAGGTGCGGAGCAGCCTTGTGGCACAGCTCACCTTGCCTCCCAGCAGGGGGCTGACCCTTCCGCAGCTCGTGGGACGGGCGCAGCTGTGGTTGCAGGAGGAGCACCTCGGAGCTGAAGGGAGCGTTGATCACGGTTTTGACTCCCATGTGAAGACGTAGCCAGACACTCCATGTATGGCATATGGCATATATGCCGAGAAACGGCCAGGGGTGGTGGTTTGGGGGGTCAATGGGGCAGCATATATGGCAGTCCCATTAGTCGTGTCTGGGGTAGGTTGTTCTTATAAACTACCCACGTCTCCTCCCGCCCCCCACGTGGTGCTCTCGCTCCCAGGTCCCTTCACTTCGCACCAGAGGAGGCCAGGGTGGGGCTCCAAGGGCGGAGTTGGACCGACCCATACAGGGTTCCTCTGGGTTTCCGGAGGCTGCGTTTCGCCCCATGGGAATGATGACGCGAATCGACTCGGTCGACTCGATCTTGAGGAAGTAAGTGCGAATCCTTCGCGAATCGAAGCTCTGAAGCGAAGCATGATGAAGTGAGTGTGGCCCTTCTGGAAGTGAGTCTTAATGGACCTTCTCCAGCAGTTCAACCACGTGCACCTTCCAGCCGGGGCTCCTTAATTTATACTGTAAATCCAGTCGGGCCAATTCTGTGCAACATGTGCAGTCGTTCCATCAAAGCACTTCCCACCTCCTTGAACCCGTCAAAAAGCACGCTTGGCTTCTCGCGTCCGTTCTGCGCGTTCCGTCATCGCAGGTGGAGGAGGAGGATGAATTGGACCTCATCATCCCTGTTAGCCAACTGGGCGAGGTTGAAGCCAAGATCTTAGGCCCCGAGACCGGCGTATTGGGTGGCCTATCGGTGATCCTGAACCTGTCACCGCCATTGGCAGCCAACGGCTTCCTTGCAGTGCAAAGGTTGGGTTTTGGGAGATTGATTTCTAGTCTGAGAACCTTTTGCCTGGCTTGGGATGTGTTTCTGTGGTTTTTGCTTGTGTTGTGCTCAGCCACTCACTCAGACTTGTTGAAGGATATGTTGCACGATTGGGAGGCTTGTAAGATTTGAGGCGGGGAGGGTTTCGATCCGCCGGTCTACACATGATTGATTCAATTCAGGAGAGGTCTGGGCATTTCTCTTAGAGTTGATGTCGGTTCTTCTCATCTACTCACTCCCATTCCCATTCCCGGTGGTGAATTCACCACGTGAGGTAGACTCTTGCCCAAAAAGCCTCCGTCCCCTAGGAGGATGCTAAAAACCTCTTCCATACAGGGGCCCCTTCTTTGATCCAAGAGCCTCCATGCTCCTCCGGCCTCCTCGCTTCACCACGGACAACCCCCGCGCCGCCCCGCGCTTCGCTCTCATCGATCGGCGGACCGGCCTGGATGCCCGAGGCTTTGCCCTGGACTTCATGGCCGAGGGGCACCGGATCTCCATGCTGACCCTCGAGGCCGTCGAAGGCGATCCCTTCGAGGCCCCAGAGAACCGGTGACCGCGGACCGAGCCGTGTCCAGAGTGCGGTCGGGGCGATGGACAGGAAGAGGGAACAGGGGCCGGTAGGGTCCGAACGGTGGAACAGGGGCCGACTGTCTGGTGACCATGAAGCCTTCGACCCCTGAAGTTCAAAGGATGTTGATGTGTTCTGAGTTGTGACTCAACTGAGACTTGAATCGCGCACATGATTGTGGATCGCATCCAGGATGGCTTTACATCTCTGCATGGAGGGTTTGATTTATCAAAAGTCTGCATTAACACACGCACACACACACACACACCGGTTTTCAAAAGAGCTTCTGGCGCAACCGTGGAGGCATTGGCCACTTTCAAAACGTGGCTGAGCAGTGCCACGTGTGCTGAGCAGTGCGTCACGCTCCATGGTCCCAAGTCCTTGGGTCTAGTCCCGCGGCCGCATCAGAAGGGCTTCGGGTTGCGCTTCCAGGGGGCCGTGCTGGAAGAACGGGACGTGGACTTGTTGGAGGATGAGCAGTGGTTCAACGACACCATCATGGACTTCTTCTTGCGTTTGGCCGTCGAGGTGGCGCCGCCACAACTGCAAGAGGAGAAGCAATGCAATAGTTCTATGCAAAGAATCGAACGGGGAGCTGTAGAATCCGTTCACTGCCATTTTTAATACCCTTTCAACCGGCAACGCAGCATAAGACGCTAGAATTCAGCTCCCATACTGGTAACAGACTTGCGGGAGAATCGAAGACGTTGATTTCGTTTTGACATTGCACCGGTCGGTTCATGAGTTGCAAGCCATTTCCTTACGTTTATCAACGTACCAAAAAAGATCAAAAAAGACCGTGGTGATCTGGGACGCATTATTAAAAAAATATAAAAAACACTTTTTGATAGACCTGGTTCTTCCAAGTGACCTTTTGATCCCTTGGTTTGAGGTCCTGCAATAGGTCACTTAGGGACCCCAAAAAGGTCACTTGGAAGAAGCATACACAGGGGCCGCTCCAAACGAGAGAACGCACCAGACTTTCCAACACCTGCTTGCTGCTGCCTGTCTCTCTCTTAACCTCGATCCGCTGCCTGTCTTTTGCAGGAGTTGTATGTGGCCAAGACTCAGTTCTTCACGCGCCTGAGCGCCGCCGGCGCCTCCAGTGGCGAGAAGGGCTGGGAGAACGTGCGGACGTGGACGCGGAGCGTCACGGGTGGCCTGGCGTCTCAACGGGTCTTGATCTACCCGGTGAACGAGGCGCCCTGACGGCCCGGAGGTCGACGGAGAGCTGTTTGGCCGGTTTGGATGGAGGTGTGTTCCAGGCTTACGCCAGTTTCAGGAGTGATTCTTTTGGTTACTCAGATACTCCCTCTTTTCATCTCTTTTCTCTTTTCCTCTGGGTGAATGTATATATATATATACATACAGTGGCTATTATATATATCAGCAAAGGTGACATGGACCTGGGCAGAACTTATGAGGCACTTTCGGGTGTTGCTGGGGTGCATATGCCTGCAGGCTAGCCAGTCTAGAGTGTTCCAATGTTTCATCATGCCTCTTTAAGGGTTGTTGATTTCTCCCCCATCAATGAGGTTGTCGAAAAGGGTTGAGTCGGGGTCGCCCGAGGTGTTTGGCAGGGGTTCTTCTTGGGCCTCCATTCCCCAAGAACAGCTGCACTGCGACCGTGCATGGCAGGCCAACCTGCACTGGTGCGCCTTCTTCGTCTGCCATCCCTACCGAGTGATGCGGACCGATGACACGCGCGGGCACATGGAGGACTTGCCACGGATGGTTTGTCTGGACTCCGCATGGGAGCCTTTGCCCAAAGAGGACCACATCAAATTGCTGAAGGGAGACTTGGTTTGGCTTCATTCGGAGTTTCTGGCCATAAGGCTGGGGTGAAGTGCCTTCCGCGGAAGGTGAGATGTTCTTATCAATGATATGTCTAAAAGCTGGGCCATTCTTTCCCCGGTTCCTGACACAAGAGCACATCCAAGATCATCCAAGGATACTTGCGCCGAGAGCTCTTCAACACGAGTGGCTACGGCGTCCAACTGGAAGACTCCAAGCGCCTTGAAGACAAGGTGACGCGGTCGCAGATGGTGGCTCGATGGAAAGCTGCAGTGTGCGGCTTGGAAAGGATGCAGGCCATTGAGACGGACGTTCCAAAGCAGCAGAACGTCTATGATTGTGGTCTCTACGTGCTGGAGTTCTTGCTCTTTCTGCTTCGCCACCCCGAGAAGTTGACCAGACTGGGCTTGGAATCGCACCAAGCCTGGTTTGACCAGTCCACCATCAGCCATCGTCGCACTCAAATGCGCCAGCTCGTGGTGCATTTGCTGCAAGAAGGAAAGGCCAAAGGGGAGACGGACCTGTCGGTCCTCCTCAAGGACCAGGGCCTCCGTGCTCGTGTGCACGAGGCCCTTCTCAGTGAGCCGAGCCCCGACGAGGACCTGCCCTGGCGGCCACCGAAGGAGCCCCCACCTGTGAAAGCGCGGCCGCTGCCACCTCCGGCAGTGCCACCTCCGGTGCCGGCGCAGGCGGCTGCGGCAGAGGCCAAGTGGTGGGATTGGGGCGAGTGGAGTGAGGACACGCGGGGGTGGAAGAGGGCCAGGAGGAATGACTGGTGCTGAACTGGCCGTTCCCACTTGAACAAGAGCTCGAAAGGCCTAGCTTTTCGGGTGGATTTTATTCGTGCCTGAGTGAGAAAGTGGCTGTCGGCATGCAGCGTTCGAGGCTGCAAAAGCCTTGGGGGATGCCAGTCATCCGAGCTGTGTTGTCCCTTCCACGGCTTGATCACCGGATGGATTTCGTTGTTTCCTGACCTCCCCGCAACACCAAAGCATGCCAGTCATGGACACAGATAGAGAGAGAGAGAGAGAG